CCCCCTCCTCCCGGTCCTCCTCTTCCCCCTCCCTTCTCTGGACCGGAGACCATTCACATCTCAGTAGATGACACTGGGGAGAGGACTTGTCTACATTTGTGACATGTCTGATGTGTAGAATATCTTAAAAACATTTTGCATATGGGGTTAAAAAAGGTATTCCTTGCAAGGTCACAGAGTAATTAAGATGTAGCTTTGAGGGAAAGGGGCGGGAAGGCCCAGGATTGGGGTCTTGGTCTCATCACTGAAGTCTCTTGCTATGTGACTTTGAATGAATCAGGACTCTGAGGATCTTTGAGCCTCAGTTTCCTCACCTGTGAAATGGGGTTGATGCCCCCCCCCCACCACCACCACCACAAGCTTCCTGGATAAGCAGACATGAGGTACGGGCCAGGCTGAACACCTTATCCCACCACTGCCTGGGGTGAGAGAGAATGTTGGCAACAGCCCAGAAAGGGGGGATCTCCATAGATTTGGAGAAGTTCTGAAATGCACTGAGCAGCAGAGTTTCTGTGGGTTCAAGGGCACCCAGGAATTTCCTGGGAGCGCGTGAGACCTCCTGACCCAGGCATTCCAGGGGCTGGGGGCTGGAAACCTGCATTTTAAACATGCTCCCTGGGGACCGATGAAGGTTAGGACACTTGGAAACAGGTTTCCAACAAGGTTGAAAACTCAAACACTACTTCAGGGCAGGTAACCAAATCTTGTGGGTGACTCAGGTGGGCCTCCTGTGGCCAGATAATCCAGCATTTCTAGAGAAGAAATCGAGATTCCTAAGTGAACTTTTCTCTTTGGAAATGGTGCGCAGGGCCAGCAGCACCCCGTGCAAGGCAGGGTCAACCTAGATTCGGGCCCCAGCTTTGCATTCCCAAGGACTTGGATTCAGAGGCCAAACCAGAGAAGGATGGAGACGGGGAGGGGATGTGGCCCAGGGGATGGTTTTAAGGCTAATCGCGTGGAAGCACTTGGAATGTGCAGCTGAATGATGGCGTCGTCAATGGGAACAAAGTCGCCCACCTCTTTCTCCAAGAGGCAGCTAGTTGTTGAACAGATTCTTGCGGCTGACTTGTAATTAACTGGCAGCAGGGCGGCCTTTCACAGTGGCCACGCCCATAAGCAAATAGCTACTTACGCTTGAAAAGTTTGCTTTTCTAAGGGGTAAACACCCTCTGTCTGCAAATTTTGTTTATACTCTTCAGGGGTTTAATAGGTTCCTTTCATTCTCGATTTTCAGGCGGCTTCTGATAATGAGGCTTTAGGGGTTGGCCCCCTGAGGGCCCTACTTCTTTTCTCTGGCTCCTTGTGGAATGCGTGTGGGGGGGGTGTGTGTCTGTCTGTCTGCATTCCACTGCCTTTGTGATCCTGCTTTTAATTGCATAAGACATAGGGCATCGTGAGAGGTCATCATAGAAGGATGTCCGTGGCATATGGTTGGCTGAAAAACAGGTTGCTCTTAACCACACGTACCTATTGTATGGTCCCATTTGTGGTTTCAGAATGGATGGACAGGCCTGTATGTGCACACGTGTACCCACACATCTGTGGGTACACGTATCACTGTATGGGGAGACAGGGTAGGGTATGAGCTTGGACTTCGGACTTGGGCTCTGTCACGTACTACAGCTGACCCTTGAACGACATGGGAATTAGAGGTGCTGAGTCCCTGACACAGTCGCAAATCTGAGTACTGCTATCTCTGCCTCAAAAGCAAAGGAACTGATAAATGACTGACGGGGGACAGGATGCCGAAAGAGTTTGCATAGAGTCACGACTCAAACCCTAGCTCTTTCGATTCCACGTACTGTGATCTCTGATTCAACACCAACTCCCCCCCCCACGCTTAATTTAAAGATCGTGAAGTGAAAATACAAGTACTATAGTTGTTGAAAAAAGTCCGCATATAAGCGGACCCATGCAGTTCAAACCAGTGCTGTTCAAGGGTCGGCTGTACTGGTTTCCTCACTGTGGACTGGTAGCTAAGGTGGGTGTAACATACCTAGCATAGCACCTAGGGTTAAGTCTTCCATATATGTTAGATAGATGCTAACTAAATCTGAAAGGGAGAGAAGTAGGAAGAGGACAATTTCATTGCCTTTTATTCTTCTGTGTTGCTGGAGAATTTTTCAACTACTGCATGTAATATATATATGTATACATATATATGCATATTTTTATATATACATACGTATCTACATATACATATATATATATATATATATATATAACCTATGTGAATTAGTTTCCTGGGGCTGCCATAACAAATTACCACATACCAGGTGGCTTAAAAACATTGAACTTCAAGGTGCGGGATGCCATCCCACTGGGCAGGCCAGAAGTCCCTCCCTGGCCCCTAACGAGGGGCCCTCAAACCTCAGTTGGACTGTCGGCTGCAGTGACCCAGCCTCTCTCCCTGTGTTCCCCGCAGCTGGAGCCTGATGGACTGTTGGTGTGGGTCTTGGCTGGCACCCTAGGCCTCAGCCTCGTCTGTTCCCTGGTCTCGGTCCCACTGCAGTGCTTCCAGCTGAACAGAGTTTACGGCTGCTGCCTGCTTCTCTTGTACTTGACCTTCCTCCTGGTGGCCCTGCTCACCGAGTTTGGAGTGATTCACTTGAAAACTGTGTGAGTGAAGCTGTGTCGGGGTCCGCCTGGTGGTCGGGAAGTGTCACTGCAGGCGGTGAGATGGAGGATGAAGTTTCTTCATTCGAACCCGCTCAGGCGAGCGTGGCCGAGACCGTGAACGGGGTGTGCACTCGTGGGGCTGTGCTCTCTGCTAAAGCTTCCCAGTCGCCGCTGTGTGCAGTTAGGTCAGCTAAACCTTGTTTCTGGGGCTGCGGAGGCTGGGCTTCCCTGTGGACAGAGTTCCAGGCAGCAGGTAGACTTCCTTGCGTTATCTCCAGAGCCTCTTGAAAGTTGGGGTCTGGGGCGAAGGGGATGCCTGGGTGCCTTCCAGGCTGGAAGACCCCAAAGAGTTCAGGGCTGGAGACAGTTGTGGAGGCCCAGGCCCCTCCCCACAGTCACGCCCTGTCGCCTTCCTGCTGCTTCTCTCAGGGCTGCCAAACCCGTGTTTAGGGAGTCAGGGTGACTCGGACCTGGCAGATAGAACAGCTTGTGTGCTGTGGGCCTCGGGCCGATGCGGGCTGAGTTCTAGAGCTGCGCTGTCCAACAGAAATAGAATGCGAGACATGTACCTAATTTTGAATCTTCTAGCCGCCACGTTAATAAAGCCAAAAGAAAAAGGTGAAATTAATGATAATATATATCACTTCAAGATAGCAGCCAGTGGCACTGGCCCACGAGTGGCTGCCGTGTCGGACAGCACAGCTCTAGGCTGCCTCTAGAACTGTCTGCTGGCTTCGGAGGTTTCCCCAGACGCAAAACAGGAGTCAGTGTGACTGTGCCCTGTGCCTACCTCAGGGGGAGCCCTGGGCTGGGGCTGCTTTGCCTGCGACCTCCTGGGAGGGTGATGAGCGCTCCCGGGCGCCTTCCTGCTGTCAGCCAGTGACCCGCCTTTTCAATAAGCAGCGCTTCTGTTTGCTCAATGCCTTATGCCGGCAGTAAAGGGACTCAGTTGTCTTTTTTTCCAATGAAAAAATTATTAAATATTTCAAGTAAACAGAAAACAACATACAGCCGGCTGTTACTGGTTCTTCCTAACCTGGGTCAGGCTGACGAGTGGTCGGTTCCAGGGCCGAAGGCGCTTGGCCCTGACGGATCTGGACTTGGTGGCATGTCTAGGGGTGGGGCTGAGGTGGGGTCAGGAATGGGCATGGATGGGTCCTCTCCCTGTTCCCCACGATCTCAGAAGCCACCGAATGGTGCCTGGTGGAAGTCACGAGGCAGCAGCCGCGTGTACAAAGCAGAGGCTCTTTTATTAATACGCCAGAAATCCGGAGACGCGGTGGGTTTTCCAGGCAACAAATCCCCATTGTACAAAAACCTTACAGCGTCGCCCCCTCTGTCTGTACAAAATGATTGTCACGTGGTGTGGAGTAAGGCTGGGTTGGGGGAGGGAAGCAAGGAGGAGGGGCCAGATGGTGTCCCCCCGAAAGCGGGGCAGGGGCCCAGGGCCATCACAGACACTGACAGGTGGTGTGACCCAGACCCACACACAGGTGGTGTGACTCAGGTGGTGTGGCGCATCTCACCTTGGTGGGGGTCAGCTGACGTGGGAGGTGAGAGGGCATCCGAGCTGGATGTCCTGGGTCCCCAGAGCTCACAGCGCTGGGTGACACCCGCTCCCTGCTCGATGGCCTGTGTACAAGTCGGAGGGTCAACCTGAGGAGGCCCCCAGTGACCCCGAAGGGGCAGCTGTCCTCAGCCTCAGTAATGAGGGTGCCCACCAGTGGCTGGAGTCTGGTGCCTCAGCACTGTTGCCACTTGGCTTTCATCCCGTCCCTGGCTAAAACCAGGGCCTTTCACAGGATGGGGTTGGGAGGCCTGGACTAGATCCCACTCTTCCTGGTACCAGTCTTCACCCTGGGGGCTGGGGGGCTGCGCTCAGTTTCCCTGGTGCCCTCCCAGGTTTCAGCCTCCTGGGGGCAGATGCTGAGGTTGGGGGACTCACGCCCTCCTCTGAGAGCCGCCCCTTGACTCCTGCTTCCAGAATGCCCGTTTCAATAAACAAAAGCTGAAAGGCACCCAAATATGCAAACAAAGTTACTTCTCCGGAGCGGGGAAGGGGTTCTGGCCTGGGGCTCGGTGCCGAGCTGCCTGCGATGGCCCGTGGCCCTCCAGAGAGAAAAGAGGACGTCTGTCTCCCGATTCCCTTGGGGAATCTCAGTGGTTCTCAGTGATTCGTTGTTTCCCTAAAGGGCTGTGCTTTAAAAACAGAAACGTCCACGACTTCTCCCCTAGTGAGGGGCAGAGCTGTGTGGTGCTGGCCATGGGACCAGCCCGTCCAAGGCCACAGTCGAGAAGACCTGGCCGTGGGGATGGGGTACCACACCCCGGGATCAGGCCCTGCCCGGCTGGGAAGAGGATGTGGCGAGAGGGAGTTTGCCCACCCGCCTCCGTAAGTCACAGAGGCAGTGGAGGCAGCTGGAAAGCGGGGGTTGGGGCAGGATGCCCAGTGCAGGCCGCTTCCCCTGCCCCCCCCCCCCCCCCCCCCCTTCGTCCCTGCTTCTGCCACCTCTGCTGCCTGCACTGAGATAGGCTCACCGCCCAGGAGAGCTGAGCCGAGGCTCCCTCTGCTCTGACCCTGCTTGTTTCTGCCACTGCCACCACCGCTCACCGGAGCTGCCAACGCCGACAGCCTGCTATGGGTTCAAGCTCCTACTGCATCGTGACCTCAGAGAACGCTCCCAAGGTCCCTGGGGAACTCAGGAAACTGACAGGCCACCTGAACCTACTCCGGGGAGTGGAAACCTCGGGGTGAGCCGTGTCCCCAGCCCTACCTCAGTCAGGTCCACGGAGGGCGACTGCTCAAGGTGAGGGGGGAGCTGGCCAAGGAGACCACGGGTTCAGCCGCAGGGCGGCCGTGGACAGCCGTGGACAGCCTGAGGTGAGCCTCTGTGCTCTCTGTTCCCGTTTCCAGCAAATGCACCCACGTGAAAGGATCTGCTGTTGTCTTTAGCAGAATCCTGAATTAACCAAAATGTCTCTTTGCTTGAACAGGACGATCCCAAGGAAAAGGGATTTAAGGAGAAAAAGCCCATTTCAGGACCTGGTTTGGGTGGTAGCCATCGGCCTGGCCTCTTGCCCGTCTTCCTCCTCCTACTGGGCTGTGATTCCAAAGGCCATCTTAGGAGGATTTTCAGCAACAAGGGTTGAAACCAAAAGAAGGGTAGGTGAGAAGGCTCATGGAGCTGGGATACGGCCTCGCTCGCCTCCTGGCACTGGCTGAGATCTGACCATACAGAATAACCACAGCCCTGGATCACTCGTTCCAGTAGGTGCTGGGTACTGGTCCCCCAAGGGAACGCCCAATTTCATTATTATATCTAGAGACATACCAACCCAAGGATGTGGGTTATTTCCTTCCTAAGTGGTTTTGTCCCTAAAGCAGAACACAGACACCCCAGGATGTGGGCCACAGGCAGGTTAGTGGGGAAGCTAGCTGTCAGCCTGGGCGGGAATCTGAAGGCAGCATCAGGAAGACGGTATGGATCTGGCCTAGGGACGCTGGCCCACGCTGAAGGCAAGCCCTGCAGAGATCGGCAGAAGCCATTCAAGTGCTCTCGTGAAGGGGCCTTCTGGAGCTTTCCATGTTAAGAAGAGCTCCTAGTGGCCTGATCCCCCAAAATGAAATTGACTTCTGGGGTTAACAGGGCAAGGTGGGTACAAACCAAACCTCAACTTGTCTGCCTGTCTTTCTTTTTTCCTATATATAAATATTTGCATATTAATGAATGTATGTATATATATATAAAACATATACACACATTATTCTGATACATCGTAGTAAAATAATACTATTGTGTTATTGCATAGAAGAGATGGCTTTTGCAGGCTGGGCTTAGGTGATGGTCTGGGAGCGCTGGCGGCTGCCTGGAGGCTGCGGGGTGGTGGGGACCACACAGCCGCTGAGCTGTCGTTGCTGCTGCTCCTGCTTCCGGGCGTGTTCCTCATACCACTCCTAAGGCAGAGAGCAGACAGGGTGCTGAGCGGGCCCCAGCCCTGTCCCCCAGCCTAACGGGGTCACCCAGGCTGGGCAGTGCTGTGACCCTCCCAGACCTGCTGGGAATTCTGAATAGGACCCTAAATAGAAAAATGATGATGCAACCTTTCCCTTTTTAACTAGAGATTTGCAAACCTCCTTGTCAAGTGTGCCTGCTTTCAGTGAGGCCCAGGTAGTAATAACACCCTTTACTCGTGAACATGATCTGTGTGGTTCACAAAGGGATGTGTGCCCCCCACCCCCTCGCCAATCCCCTGTGTTACCCCTTTTGAGCTGGGTGTCCTCATTTTACACCCAGGAAACCCGAAGCTCAGGAGTTGTATAAAGTTGTATGAAGCTTGAGCGCACCTCCCAACTCCCTGGTTGCTTTGCTGCCCTCCAGAACGGCTGTGAGAGCTTACCCGCCTAAGACTATCATCATTATATCATCCGACATTTTCAGGGACAGACGTATTCAGGTAATTGAGAAATTTTAAATATAAACTCTATGTTTTTAAAGAGTCTGAACCACAGAACTTTAGAGCTTAAAAAATTAGAGAGATGGCCTAGTTCTGTGCCCCCTCATTCCACAGAGGGGAAGACTGAGGCCAGGAGTGGACGGCCCGGCAGCGTGTCTAGTGCCGTCCCCTCCTCTGCTTCATGAGGCAGGGACTGTCCCCCTCTCATAGATGGGGATGGGCTGCGTGACCTGCCCAAGGTCACGGAGCCTGGGATCAAACCCGGGTTTTATGACACCAGAGCTCATGTTGATTCCTCATCTCTGTGACTCTGAGTGCAGTGATTCGCCAGGTCTTCGCCCAGACCCCTTGTGTTTTTACAGATAAGGTGCGAGTCGCTTCAGGGGACTGCGGCCTCCCGGCCTTTTGGGCTCAGACCCTGGTCATCACTGTCCCAGGGAAACAAGAGTTTCCAGCCTGAAAACAGCATAGTCACAGTGGCTGGCGAGGGAGCTGGGAGCCTGGGCGGATGGGTGGCCTGCAGTCCATGGCTCTGTCTGGGCTGCAGAGCGCCAGCCCACGGGCTGCTTCGCAAGCTCTTTCACTTAGCAGCCAATGTGGGAAGACGGGGAGAGTTCGCAAAAAAAATATCTGACTTTTCCCTTCTCTTAAATTAGAAAACAAAAACAATCAAAAACCCCAAGAGAGCCAGGCGCAGCAGGCCCTTGTTCCTATCGGGCAACGTCTGGCTGGATGTGGGAAGGACCATCCTCTTTGAAGAGGCCGGTCCAGGCCAGCTCGCCAGGGCCCCCCACGCTCCCTGCTCTGCCTGGAACGTCTCCCGCTGTACGCGTTTCCTTTGCTGTTCTGGCTCAGAGGAGGAGAATGAGATGAGGTCAGTGACATATGTGGAAGAGTGGACAGGGTGGCTGCCTATGTTGGGGAATGCTTCAAGGGTTCAAGGCTGAGCCCTGAAGCCCCCCCACCCCGCCGCCGACCCGAGCAGTGGTCCACTGGTAGTGGTCCCAGCAGATAATCCCACAGCTCCCCACTAAGCTCCCCACACATCAAGATGGGGACCAGAGAGCGGCCTCTGCTCAGCAGCGGGAGGACCACCCCCAGACAGGAGGATCTGGGCAGCGCGGTCGCGGGTGCTCCTACCTGAATCTCCTCTTGGTACATCTTTAGGCTCAGATCGCTTTTGGTTCTCGATCTCCGTCCCAGAAACACCAAGGTATTTTGCTAGAGAAGAACAGAAAGGCTGCAGGGACCAGCTGGAGCCAAGGTCCTGGCGCCCGGCCTCACCCCCTCCTCTGGCTTCTGCAACGGTGCCCCCCAAAAGTGTCACCAAAACTTGAGGGGATGGACAGCGGGGGAGCGTTTGCACTAAGCCACAGCCCGCTCCCTCCGTGGGACGAGGCCCTGTCGCTCCCCACCTCGTATCTCTCCATCTGGGAGAGGATCTTGAGCAACTGGGCGATGTCAGAGGCGGCTCCCCAGGCCTCCTGGTAGAGCTTCAGGACAGCAATCAGCTCATCTTTGGAGATTTCCTTCTCAAGGGTGATACCGCCGTCAACTGCAGGACGGGAGGGTGGCAGGGGGAAGGAGCCTGGGACTCAGAGCCCCCCCGTCTGGCTGGGTTTAGCCATCCTCCCTGCGCCCTATGGGGGCCTTAAGGTTCCCTCTCCCAGCAAAACTCTGGATCAGCACGACCACCTCCCCCCACCATCTGGAACTCACGTCCCTCCCCATCCCCTCCCTTTGCTGGGGCTGTCAGGAGCACTGGTCAGGCCGCCAGCTTACAGGGGACAGAGGATTTCAGGAGGGAGTCTCCGAGCAAAAAGAAAATGATCAGGTAGTCTGAGAGGACAGAGATTTGGAAACAAGTAGGAACAGGGATGTGGCAGTTCTGATGGAGAATCTGGCAAGAATGAAGGATCATTAGGCAGAAAGTGATGCACTCCAGGAAAAGGGAGACAAGGGGTTGCAAGCTGCAGAAGGAAGTAGTATTAGGCTCTGTGGTCAACGGTATTTACACCGTTTAAATCAAGAGCCAGAGGACAAACACGGGGTTTAGAAATGCGGAGACGACAACTAAAAGGGGGAACAGCTAAGGATGAACAGTCGGGGAGATGAGGAAGGCGGGACAGAGGGCTGCTGGGGTCACAATCAGCCTGTGATTTTTCTTGATCTCAGGGCTGTACTGTTCTGATTTTTTAAATGAGATCACGTGCATTTTTCTGTCATTTAGTATTTGAAAAATCAATGCAAATAAGAGATCAAGAAAGCTAAGCCAGGACTTGGGTGGTGGCCCAGTGGTTAAGAATCTGCCTGCCAATGCAGGGGACATGGGTTCGAGCCCCGGTCTGGGAAGATCCCACATGCCGCGGAGCAACTAAGCTCGTGCGCCACAACTACTGAGCCTGCGCTCTAGAGCCCGCGAGCCACAACTCCTGAAGCCCATGTGCCTGGAGCCCGTGCTCCGCAACAAGAGAAGCCACGGCAATGAGAAGCCCGCGCACCACAATGAAGAGTAGCCCCCGCTCGCCACAACTACAGAGAGCCCGCGCGCAGCAACGAAGACCCAACGCGGCCAAAAATAAATAAAATTGAGGGGGAAAAAAAAGAAAGCTAAGCCAGATCAGTAAGCGGAACTGCCAAGACTGGACAGACAGACAGACAAGCGGCAAACGCCCCTGCTCCAGCCACTTGCACAGACCTTCTGAGTCCCGGTTCTTGCGGCTGTAGTTCATGCGGAAGACGAAGGCTTCGAGAATGAAGGCGACAATGATAGTCATCACCACCTGGCCAGGCATGGAGAAGACGAGCAGAAAGAGAGAGGAATGAGGGGGGCGTGAGCTGCTGCGGGGCCCCAGAGCCGACAGAGCCCGGTCAGACGTGTCCCCGGCCCCCTCCTCCCTGAGCTGCTGCCCGATAAGCAGGGGCAGCTGGAGGCTTGGAGGATGGAGGAGGGTGGAGGGCATTCTGTGTCCCTGGACCTACCATGGTCACGATGTAGAAGGTCATGAAGTAGAGGCGGCTCCAGTGGGAGGTCTGCGAGGTGATGCCTTCCTGGAGACAGAGGGAAGCAGGGAGTGAACGAGCTCCTGGGGTGGGGCCGGGTCGCTGTCTCCGCAGGCTTCTCCGTGGCCCCTGCTCTCTACAGACCCTTCCTGATCGGTTGTGGAAGACGAAGGAGGGGGACCTTGCTCCCTTGGGTCTAAAAATCCCTCTGAGCTCCTAAGGCCTGGACACTCCCCCCAGGACTGAAACGGCCAACCTTTGGAAGAGTTTAAGGAATGGAAAAAAACCACCAACCAGCCACACTCGCCACACTGTTTCTTGATTGAAAGGTCTCCCTCACAGTGGTGGGAGCAGGACAGAGACCCAGAGGCTGACTGGCCTCTCCTGGCTGCTGGGGGATGTGTGGAAAGCAGGCACAAAGGCCACGTCCAGCAAGTGCGGAGGGGCAGGCTCTTGGGATTCAGGCCATACCGTGGTGTCCCTGCAGAACCCTGCCCCCGCGGGGGACGGGGAGAGCAATGCGCCCCAGGCTGCGTGAGGGGAGATGGGAGCTGGCCTCAGAGAATGGTGGGAAGATGCCCCCAGAAGCTGATGGAGGTCCTTACCATGATGATGTACCAGTTGTTGACAACTGTGAGCTCAAACAAGGTCACTGCCGAAGGGAAGGGAGAAACAGAAAGCATCTTGATCAGACCTGCTTTTGCAAAGTGAGTGTCAAGCGGCCTCTCTCCACCTATCCTGGGTACCACGCACTTGTCTGCCGGGGTGGCCTGTGAGCTCCCGAGAGCAGCCACGGCGCTTCCTGAGCGTCCACCCCACAGGGGGTGCTGCCATCTTGGCCTTTTGGTCCCCAAAAGGGTGCCTCTTTGGCTTCAGCAGCTCGTGATGGACCAGGGGTGGAGATACTGGGGAAGGAGTCCCCGGACCTTCCTTGGTGTAGATCTGGGATGTCGTGAGGGGATCCCTTCCTCTTGAGAAGCTGTGTCTGGCCTCCCGGCCTCTCCATGGAAGCCAGGAGCAGAGCTGTGTGGGCCTGGCCTGGGTAATGCGGGACGCTGTGGCTGGCTGGTGTGGCCAGGTCCCACCCTGCAACTGTGGAGCTGTGACAAGGGGGCTGGTTCCCTAGCATCGGGCTGTACCCATCTCCCAGCCAAGCATGAAGCTCTGCTGCTCCCCCGATGCTGAGAAAGTAACAGGAAACAAGCCCTGGGGTCTGGCCTGGACAGTACCCCCAAGGCTGGGCAAACCACAGGCTCCACTGGGGCCAGAGAGGACTCGAGAAAGTATGGCAAACGGCTCGGGATGGGGAGGCCTCGGGCAGCTCTGCTCCGCCCCACCTGGGACCTGCGGTGACCAAGGCAGTACCCAGTGCACGGCCCGCCTGGGCTTTCCGCACTCACCAAAGCTGTTCAGGATGTTGTCAAAATTGTTGAGATAGTAGTAGCCTTCCTCCACCACGGTCCTGTTGTCCACGGTGTGATTGAGCCAGCGGTAGGCGTCTGCCACTGTGCTCGTACTGGCCGGGGGAGACGGGACGGGGGGACAGAGGGTTGAGTGGGAAGGTCACGAGATAACTGGTCACCTCAACAAAGTACAGAAAGTTTAAGCAAACCAAGGTCTGACTGAGGACCACCTCTCTTGGCCCAGCCTGGTTTCCTGCCGAGCCCCCAGCTCCCTTGCCTGTCTTCCTGTCTCAAGGGGAGTCCCCAGAGTGCTGGTGGGAACGCCCAGACTTGCCCCCCATTCCACCTTCACTTGGCATTTCTCTGCCGCCAGCCAGGCCTTCTTGCTCTCAGCTGCCAGAGCCCGGCGCTCTGGGAGGGGAGACAAAGGCAGTGCCTCCTCGAACACCACCCCCAGCCCCCTGCCCCCTGCCCCCACCAGTCTGGGATCTGCCCTGGAGGCCGGGTGCCAACGGCAGCCCTCGAGAAGGGTCCTCCCCTCCTCGGGCTTTCCCCAGCACCTGGCTGGAGTGTTCTGTTCTGTTCTAATCGGTTGCCCCTGTTCTGAGAGCTTGTTTGCTTCTTTCCTGCCAACCTCCTACGGCTGATCTGCTGTAATTCACGGGGATGTTTTGACAAGCCTGGTCCTCGGGCCCCCAGGGAGCTTGTTCCCAAGGCAGAGTCCTGAGCCTCTGGCCTGTGTCGGACACGCAGGGTGGGGTCTGGAGTTTGCCCTTTTAAGCAGCGGCTCTGAGGATTCTCATGTGCCCTAAGGTTTGTGACCCACTGCTGCAGGCTCTGGTTCTCAGCTTAGCCTGACGCTCAAAACGGCTACCAGTGTCTCTGAGAACTTTCTTTATCAGTGCTTGAAACCATAAGGACCAATTTTAAGAGAACACTGGATGGAGAATGAATGGCAGAGCACACGGATTTCATCATGGGGGCTTAGGAGGAAAGGGAGTGATCAAGGGAGGTTGTGTCCCCCGCTCTCTATACCTGCCCCAGAGACCTTCCCGCATGTGTCTGCCCTCATCCTAACAGGCCACCCCTAGCTGATGTGTCTGCCCAGGTCCCCAGTCACCCCCGCGGAGAAGCAGGAGGAAGCGGTGGGACTCCGGCCTCGGGCCCCAGGCTGCTCCCGGTCCTGGAGGAGCCGCCGGCGCCCAGCCCGAAGGGTAAGCTGATGGAGACCTGGCTGGAGAGTGGCTCCTAGACCCTGCCTGGGGGACAGGGAAACTTGCTCAGACATCCTCACTTCAGAGAGGACCCTCTGCTTCCAGGCCCCCTCCCTTAGCTGCTGCACTGAACTAAGAAGCCCTGGAAGCAAAGCAAAGTGATTCTCAGGGCTTCAAAGGGTGCTGTGGCCTGGGGAGGTGGGCCCCTGAGGGATCAGAGGTCAGCGTTCCAGTCCTGGCTGGGCTCCTCCAGAAACGCAGGCTGCCTGGGGCTGGGGGCCCCGTTGCGTACTCACTTGCAGCAGTTGGGGTAGAGGATCCCACAGAAGAATTCCATGCCCACGATGGCGAAGGAGTAGTAGAAGGTGAGCAGGGTGAGGCCCAGGCTAGGGAGGAGGGTCAGAAGAGACAGGGTGATGGAGGGCCGGCGGGAGAGAGCAGCTCGCCCGGCGGCCCCGGCATCCTCAGACCCCTGAGCTGACTGATGGAGATGCATGCCCCTAGCCAGGTGCACCAGCTGGACAGTGCCTGCAGGGGAGGGGCCTCGGATCCAGGTCTGGGGTAGAAAACAGCTCGAATCAGGACTCTATTACCAGACGCCCCTCTACCAGCGATTCACCCCTTACCTGTGAAGGTAGACTCACAGGTGACCCTTACCTGTGAACATAGACACAGGTGGTAAGTGAGTTGACAGCTCCCTGCCCTCCCTACTAAATATTTCAGACAGGTCAGTGGAGAAACGTGGAACCAGGGAGACCTGTGGTGGTCAAGGTCTCGGTCTCCTTGAAGAGATCTGACCCTGTCAGGCCCTCGATTTTCGTCCTTTTTGGGACTCCCCCTCCCCCTCCCCCCGAGACCACCCAGCTGCCCACCCCGAGGGGGCACAAGCCTCAGGACGCCTGGCCCTGGGGGCCAAGAGGCAGGGCAGTACCTGGCCATCCGGGGCAGCAGTTCAAACATGGTGTCCAGCACGTTGCGGTAACGCTTCTTCAGTTTAAACAACCTGAGCGAGGGAAGTAGGCCGGTCACTTACGGGTGCTGGGCGTGGCCGCAGCCCCTCCGTCCACAGCACCAGGTGGGGCGCGGCAGGCCCGGGGCCCCTCCACCACCTGAGAGCCTACTTTCCCCAGAGCCGCCAGCCGGGCACTCAGCTCGGGCGACTCGCACCCTGGGCAGGGGGAGCGCGGGCGCCAGGACATCGCAGCTGGACGGGCCCTGCCCTGAAAGGAGGCAGGGCAAGACTCTCGTGAGCAGGCGCGGCGGCCACACAGCTCCCGGATGAAGCCCGGAGGCCAGGGGCGGGGCGGGTCCTTGCCTGGGACGCTGCGGCAACCCTGGGAGGGGAGAAGGCCGCGCCTGCAGAGGAGCCTGCACTGCGGCAGCTCCTCCAGGTAAGAGAGGGGCGCCCTGTCCCTCACCTCCACCTCTCCTCCTGGGCAGGACGGGAGGGGGCGATGGACGTGAATAGGATCGCAGCTGGATATTCTAGAGGAAAACCAGCCTTCTGAGGACACACAGAGATCTCTAACTAGTAAGGGACACCGTCCACGGATCTCCACAAATTTGTGCTGGTTTCCTACGGTGGTCCCTGGGGGAAAGCTGAGAGCAAGTGAGGGTTTTTCTTGACAAGGGACTGTGCCAGACAATCACGGCTGGCTGTGGTAGGGGCTCAAAAGTCCCTCTGGACCCTCAGAGGCCGAGGCTCTCTGGTTGATGACTCTGAGCACGTGTGTTTCTGTGGCTGCAGCCGACACCAGCACAGGCCAAGTTCACTGGAGCCTTGAGCCACGTTTCTCTTCCACAGTCAGAGGCAACTGGTCCTAGGATGTGAGGAGGTGGGCACACCTGCCCAGGTGGAGACAAGGCCCCCACCATCCCCCTTCCCCCCACCCACACTAGGTGCTCCTGCAGGGGCCGCGCCACCCCTGACACCAGGCCTGTGAGCCTTCTGGCTCCTGGTCACTCCCCAGACCAGTCTCAAGGCTCTCCCCACCCTCCCCTGCCCACCACTCCCAACCCCAGCCCTGCCCTGTCACCTCAGCAGCTGGAGGGGACGCAGGACCACTATGAAATAAAAAGGCTCCATGTTGAAGGCCAGAGCCAGCAGTCCCAGGAAGGCGAACGCTGTGACGAAGAAGTCGAACCTGTGAGGGAGGAGGAGAAGCCATGGTCTGTTCGGCCCACCCCTAGCCTCCCTCACGACGGCCAGGGGCTCCTCGGCCCTGTGCCCAGCACTCCCTTCCAAGGAGCCCGCACGCCAACCACCGCAAAGGCAGCCACAGGCCCCGCAGTGGCCCACAGCCAGCCAGCTTCCTACCGCTATCGGGTTTCTGAGGCTGGTGTGGCTGGGCCCCAGTCACAGCACACACCTCAGGGGTCAGACATGCCTATGGACGTCCCTGGTGGCGCAGTGGTTAAGAATCCGCCTGCTGGGTCTGCCTGCAGATTCAGGGGACACGGGTTCGTGCCCCGGTCCAGGAAGATCCCACATGCCGCAGAGCGGCTGGGCCCGTGAGCCACGGCCGCTGAGCCTGCACATCCGGAGCCTGTGCTCCACAACGGGAGAGGCCACAACAGTGAGAGGCCTGCGTACCACAAAAAAAAAAAAAAAGAGAATCCGCCTGCCAGGCTTCCCTGGTGGTGCAGTGGTTGAGAATCTGCCTGCTAATGCAGGGGACACAGGTTCGAGCCCTGGTCTGGGAAGATCCCACATGCCACAGAGCAACTAGGCCCGTGAGCCACAACTGCTGAGCCTGTGCGTCTGGAGCCTGTGCTCTGCAACAAGAGAGGCCGCGATAGTGAGAGGCCCACGCACCGCGATGAAGAGTGGCCCCTGCTTGCCACAACTAGAGAAAGCCCTCGCACAGAAACAAAGACCCAACACAGTAAAAATAAATAAATTAATAAACTCCTACCCCCAACATCTAAAAAAAAAAAAAAGAATCCGCCTGCCAATGCAGGGGACACAGGTTCGAGCCCTGGTCCGAGAATATCCCACATGCCACGGAGCAACTAAGACTACGGAGCTCATGCTCTAGAGCCCGTGAGCCACAACTACTGAGCCCACAAGCCACAACTACTGAGCCCGTGCACCACAACTACTGAGCCTGCACTCTAGAGCTCACGAGCCACAACTACTGAGCCTACACTCTAGAGCCCGCGAACCACAACTACTGAGCCTGCGTGCCTAGAGCCGGTGCTCTGCAACAAGAGAAGCCACCGCAATGAGAAGCCCATGCACCGCAATGAAGAGTAGCCCCAGCTCGCCGCAACTAGAGAAAGCCCGAGCACAGCAACGAAGACCCAACACAGCCAAATGATAAATAACTAAATAGACAGATAGATAAATAAATAAGAATCCGCCTGCCAATGCAGGGGACATCGATTCGATCCCTGTTCTGGGAAGATCCCACATGCCGCGGAGTAACTAAGCCCATGCGCCACAACTACTGAGCCTGCGCTCTAGAGCCCACGAGCCACAACTATTGAGCCTGCGCTCTAGAGCCCGTGAACCACAACTTCTGAGCCCGCGTGCCACAACTACTGAAGCCCGTGTGCCTAGAGCCTGTGCTCCACAAGAAGAGAAGCCACTGCAATGAGAAGCCCTCGCACAGCAATGAAGAGTAGCCCCTGCTCGCCGCAACTAGAGAAAGCCCGTGCACAGCAATGAAGACCCAACGCAGCCAAAAATTAATTAAAAAAAAAAAAAAAGCCTAGAAACCCCTCCTGAAGGTCCCGCACTGGTCTCATGGCAGACACGGGTTACACCAGCGACCCTGGTGAAGGCACTGAGGGGTGGGGCAGGACCACAGGGGAGTCCCACAGGGAAAGCAGGACAGAGAGACCCTCTCCTCCCAGATACACATTAAGGCCCTGCAAACTGCATGCCCACACGCTACTGCTCTGCCCGACTCTTCCCTACTTATTAACTCGTTTTTACTCTCACGAGCCAGGACCCTGTGAGTGCAGCCCGATTTCACGGGTGAGTTAACGTTCATGGGCAGTGAGCCGCCTCTCGGGGTCTCTGGACAGGGAGAAGGGCCACCAGCTTGACGCTGACCAAGCATCAGGACCCGCAGCACTTCCTTCTCTGCGGGTGTCATGGTTTTCGTGGAGGAGAAAAGAGCTTAGTTGTCAGGGAGGGGTGTGGGGTTAAGTGACTCACAGAGAGCCAGCTGGCCTAAGGACCCCAAGAGGCCGTGTCCAGGAGAGGGGCTGGCGGGGGTGGTCTGAGAGAGTAAGATGAGGGCCTGACCCTGGGGAGGCCTGGAGCCACTGGCAGAACTCTGCCAGGAGACAGGGGCCTGACCTAGCCTCGGACCTTCCCTCTGAAACTGTGCAGTGGGTGTGGACGGAGAGGACCTGTGGCTTTCATTAGAATCTCTGACGTGCGTGAGAAACATGCTCTCTACTCACAGATTCCATCCGGAGGACAAGTACTCAACGGGGCCGAGGCCGGCTACTTTCAGGAACAGCTCCACTCCGTAAACTGTAAGCAGGAAGACGCAGTTAGCAGCGGCCCTGCCACAGCCTCTGCCACCCCTGGCCTGGCTCGTTTCCTCCTCGAGACTCTCCCGAGGTCTGGTCACGTGCCCTCCAGACACCCACGTCACACCCGCACCCCTGAGAGAGTGTGGGCTCCAGGGCAGGGCCTGGCCCAGATGCTGGCCAACCGGGGCCGCCCGCTAACAAGAAGCACTCGCTCCCACTCCCTGGGAGTGGCCACAGGCATTGTCTGTCCATCCAATAGGTATTTCCTAAGCCGTTCTCCCGTGCCAGGCCTTGCACTGGGTGCTGGGTGCCCAGCCCCGAACAATGCAGAGCTTAGAGTCTAGACTCAGGGGAAAGACAGCAAACTGATAATGTTAGACTGGGGGAAGGAGACTGGGGGAAAAGTGTGACATTTGAAAGAAATCAGGGGCCAAGCCGGATATGATCTTGGCCTGCTTGAGGGGCAGAAGGTAGGTTGGTGTCATTGGAACATAATGAAAGAAGGGGCTGAAGAGGGAGCTCTGGAGGGGGCATCAGAAAACACAAGTGACACAGTTGGGAAGAGATTCCAGGTCTTTCTGACCCCAGAGTTTGTGCACTGAATCACTATGCTACTCTGAACTCCACAGAAAAAGCCAAAGGGCACTGATCAAGGCAGTAAAAGTCATGCTTTTTAAGAACAGTGAAAACAACTTAGGACACAGTGTTATTAGTTATGTCTAATGTTTAGACATAAAGGGAGAGGGGTGTCAGGCAGAGCGGTGTGGTGAGGGGATGAGTGCGCCAGGGAGAGGAAAACACCTGTGCAGAGGCCCAGAGGCAGGAAAGGGCAGGGGCCCTGGGAAGTGGGATGTGTTCGGGGGGGCTGCAGGTGGGGCGCGGGTGGTGGTACTGGCAAGAGATGAAGCCTGAGAGGGAGGCTGAAGGGGCCTAAACGGGAACTTGGTCTGGAGGCCAGTGGGCAATCACCAGAGAGTTTGAAACAGGGATGGGTAGAATCAGACTCGATTTCTGCTCCACCCTCATCATTTAGAGAAAAGCCATGAGATCTTAACCCCAAAAAAAGTTCCAGCCAGTGGTTAGGACAAGCACTTGAGCAAAGCCATGTCAGAAACTTACTGGTCAGAAAGACGAGGTAACTCCAGGGCACATGCTTGGAGAAGAAGTTCCCACCTGTAAGAAGAGAGGCAGCAGTTCAAGAGGTGGGCCAGGTGTGCCCACAGGACAGGCCAGTCCCCTAGCCGGGCTCACCTTTCAGCATGAAGGTCTCCACAAGGATCCAGACCCCGTTGACTGCCACCACCAAGTCTGCAACAGACAGGCTCATAATAGAGAAAGCACAGGTGGGTGTGGAAATCTACAGGTCACAGCTGCAGCCCCTGGTTAGTTTCTAGGCAGCTCAGAGATAAGCAGAGAGCAGGGCTTGTAACAGATAACTTCCTGCTTAATGCTTTTACCATGAGCTAAATCAGCCAGTAGTTTCTCTTAGAAAATAGCTACAGATTTCTAAAAATCACCCTCTATGTCACTACAGGGATACCAGTTAAGATGTTTCAGTAAAACCTACAGATTGTTCCAAGTTGGCGTAAAAGATGGACCATATACAAAGGGTTTGAGTATTGAAAACATTTGTTTTCCCCTAGAGATATCTGGTTTTTAAATGACTGCAGAAACTAGTTAGCAAAATTGCATATGCGTTTGGCCTTTCACCTAGCAATCCTACTTTTAGGGATCCATCCCAATGAGACATTAGCAAAAACACAAATGACGTCCGAAAGCTATTCACTGAGGAACTATTAGTGATAGCAAGGAAACTAGAAACAACCTAAACGATCAATAGGAGACTGGATGAATAAACTATGATACGTTCATGAAATGGCGTACTCTCAGCTATAAAAAGGAATGAAGAACATCTCTGTATATTAATATGGTGTGGTCTCTAGGATGTATTGCTAACTGAAAAAAAAGCAAGGTTGAAAAAAGTGTGTAAATTATACTAGTTTATTTAAGGCAGGGAAATATGCATATATGCATCTACTTACAGTTTTTAAAAAAATGGAAGGATAAACTACAATAAAAGTTACCCACTGGGAGAGGTGACAGGATGGAAACAATTCTTCCTTGAGTATACTTTCTTTTGTAGATCTGACTTGGAATCATATACATATTTTACATAATTATAAGGCAAAATTCAATGTAAAAAGTGACCTCTAAAAATATTTTTTCAAATGAAATAAAGAAATGTAGATGGTGACATACCCACATGGAGAAAAACTACTCCAGATGAATTTAAAACACAGTCATCTGAATCCCTGGAGTGGTGTTTCTAGCAATTATATATTAGGGTTGTGTTGGTATTGTTTTTTGGAGCTATTATGTGTGGACTGTGGGATAAAGCAAGTGAGGGACTGTGTCAGTGTTGTTGGGAACTAGGATTTTAAGCCTGGGAATTTAGACGTGAAAGAATGATGAGGGCTTCCCTGGTGGTGCGGTGGTTAAGAATCCACCTGCCAATGCAGGGGACACAGGTTCAATCCCTGGCCCGGGAAGATCCCACATGCCATGGAGCAACTAAGCCCATGCGCCACAACTACTGAGCCTGCGCTCTAGAGCTCGCGTGCCACAACCACTGAAGCCCGTGTGCCTGGAGCCCATGCTCCGCAACGAGAAGCCATGACAATGAGAAGCCCGCGCACCGCAACGAAGAGTAGCCCCTGCTCGCCACAACTAGAGGAAGCCCGTGCACAACAGCGAAGACCCAACACAGCCAAAAATAAAAACAACTAAATTTTAAAAAAAGAAAAAGAAAAAAAAGAATGATGAAGTTAGGTAAAACCCCTATAGTCCACAATTTGAATTAAGAATATCAGGATAAACTCACAAGACAGTTTATCTTTTAAAAATCCAAAATCCTACCTCTGTCCATGGAAAGGCCTGGAAACAATAACCAACTCCAAGCAATGAGCACCTCTAGCATCTCAGATTGTGGTCTCTAAACACCATTTCCCATTAAATGGAACCAGAACTCCTTAGAAAGAGTGAATTCAATCAAGCCTCTAGATTAGTAGAAATGTCTGCATCTGTGCTGTCCAATTGGTCATCATTAGCCACACATGGTTACCGAGCGCTTGAACTGCGGCTATTGTGACGGGAACTGGATTTTTAAGTTTTAGTTGGTCTGAATTTAAACAGCCATATATGGCTGGTGGCTGCCACACTGAACAACACAGCTCTAGCTGTAACTACCAAATTACAGTAAATAAGCAACAGAGGAACATGCAAAATCAGGAAGGAAGGACAAACAATCCTGTTCCTTCAACTAAATATTGCAAGAGGAAGAAAACGGATTGGGGGAGAAACCTACAGATTAAAACAGACTGAAGTGACATATCAACAAACCACAATCTGTGGTGCTGGAATCTGCTTCCAAAAACACCAGGTCTAGAGAAGGGGTGATGAGCTGGACTGAGGGGATCAGACAGACAAGAAAGACAGGCAATGAGATGATAACTGTTGACGCTGGGTGATAGGTACGTGGACGCTCTTTACAATCCTTCCACTTTTATACATGCTTGGAATTTTCTGTAATAAACGGCCAACATCATAACTGCAGGATTTATCCTTGTATCCCCACCTTCCGGAGCAGTAAGACTCAGGAGGAAAGGGACCTAGAGCTGTGATATTTCACACTTACACATGAAATACTGGAAGGCCTTGGACTTCACAAGGATATTAATTCCTATTTGAAGAGAAGACATGTTAACAGTGAAATTTTCATGTACAAGTACACGTTCCCCTACCACAGACATCATGCGTGTAAGCAACCGGGGTGTTTATGCCCAGGGGTGAAAAAGGAAGGGCCTGCTCTCAGAAGGACACCCACGCTTGTGCCCGGACCCCTGGGCAAGACTGCACTGGCAACATTCCCTCTGGGAAGAGGCTGAGCAACCTGGAGCCGGGACAGAGCAGAACAATGCTTTGCTGGCCGCTGCTGAAACTGTAAGTCTGCTCCTGGCCTAGAACCGGCACTGTTTATTTATCCCCTTGAGCAACTATCATCCCAATGGAGTGGAAAACTCGCTGAAGAATATGGAATAATAATAACAGCTGTGCTCAAAGTCCTAGCTGTGGGAGAAATAACAAAATAGGACATACCATTTTAACTCTTGTTCATATGGCCCAGACCCCTGTGAGCTAACCATACCCCATGTGGAACTTCAAAACTGGCATTAAATTCAGGGAAAACTATTAGGTAAGTAATATGGGGCCCTCCGATTTTAAAATCTTCAATTTTATACAATGCAAGCATTATGTGAGGGATCAGATACACCAGCTATATACCCTGACACTGGAGGAAGGTCAAAATCCATCATTAGGTAAAAAGGCAGGTTTCAGAACAGAATACATAATGTAATCCCCACTACTGTTTTTAAAATGCACAGAAAACCAGAAAGAAACATATCAGAAAATTAACCGTGGTTATCTCTGCCTGGGAGACTTTCATTTTTTTCTAATTATTTGACTTCGTATCAATTTTCTTCAATAAATAAATATTCCACAAATTATTTTTCGTTTGGTTTTTATGTTACTGATTTCCTTCCTAATCCAACATTATTTCCCTGCTGGGGTAATCACACTCTGTCTCTTTTACACACATAGACATTTCGCATGCGCGCGCACACACACACACACACACCCTTTGGACATGTTCTTTAAATGCTTATCTGTGGTCACCGGAAACCTCCATTCGTCCCCAGCTGCCATATTCAGGTCAACCTTACCTTTGAAGATGAGGAATGCTGTCCTGGGAAGCTCATCAAACCAGTGCTCTCTATTTCTCTTTGCCTGGCCAAGGAACAGGGCCATAGGAGAGAGGGCGTTAGGACCAGCGACCAGAGCCCAGCCCGGGGGGCATGGATGCAGCTTCCCTTTCCTGCTCTCCTGGCTAACTTGGGAAACCATGAAAACACTCAGGGATCTAAAGAACAACAAAGCCAGCCAATGTTTGCTGAACTCTTCAATGTGCCATGCACTGCCATTGTTTTTATAGAATCCTGAAAATAATGCGGTAGGTAGGGACTCTCATGACCCCACTTCCCAGGTGAGACAAGCCTTGGAAGGGTTCCATAACTTGCCTGATGTCACATGCTGACTAATGGGGTCTGAGATTCAGTGCTTTTAACCAGGACACTGCATTGCAGATGGACAGGCAGATGCAGGGCCAGGGCCCACCTGTTATCCCTCCAGTGCACAATGCCCAGCTGAGAGCTGAGATGTCCCAGCAGGGAGAGAGCGGGACAGCCGGGTGCCTCCTGGCCTCATCCCCCTCCCAGGGAACCTTCTGCCGGGTCACTCCCTGGAGAGCACCCACCTTCCACTTCAAGGCGGCAACTTCGTAGATGTCTTGAAAGTCCTTCAGGCTGTCATAAGCACGAGGGCAAAACAAATCAGAGCACGTTCCCACCGAGCTGCGGTCCTCTCACTCGCCTGCCTATGGTCATCTTCGAGGGGTGCAGGGGGGGAGGGGAGGAGGCGACATCTGCGAGTCCCAGCGCACCAGGGCCCAGGGGACCCGTACCTGCAGGCATTTCATCTCCTCCTTCCTCCAGGGACTACGGATACTTAATCCACTCAGTCTACACAGACCACTGCCGGCTTCCGTCCCCCAGAGAGGCAGCCCCCAGATTACCACCATTCTTAGACAGACAGGGACTGAGCCTCCTTTAGCAGAGGACTTAACAGAACAACCGGGGCAGAGAGTTCAGCCCAGAGCTCGCTCACTCTCGTCTCTACAGCAGGCCTGCCTCATCTCAGATCAAAAAGAAGGGTTTTGGGGCTTCCCTGGTGGCGCAGTGGTTGAGAGTCCGCCTGCCGATGCAGGGCACGTGGGTTCGTGCCCCGGTCCGGGAAGATCCCACATACCGCGGAGTGGCTGGGCCCGTGAGCCATGGCCGCTGAGCCGGCGCCCCCCGCCAGAAGGGGCAAAACAAGAAAGAGCCCGGCGACCGCAAAACAAAAAAAAAAAAAAAAAAAGAGTACATACTAAGAGACAGAGACAGAGAGAGACAGAGACAGACAGACAGAGAGAGAGAGAGAGAGGAGAGAAGGTGTGTGTGTGTGTTTCACGTTGCTCTGTGGATTAGCTCACATGCAACCACCTTGCTCATGGCTCAAGGGTGAGCAGCTGGGCCAGTCCATTCCACGAGCCAATACATTCCCTTTTTTTTTTTTTTTTTTGCGGTACGCGGGCCTCTCACTGTTGCGGCCTCTCCCGTTGCGGAGCACAGGCTCCGGACGCGCAGGCTCAGCGGCCATGGCTCACGGGCCCAGCCGCTCCGCGGCATGTGGGATCTTCCCGGACCGGGGCACGAACCCGTGTCCCCTGCATCGGCAGGAGGACTCTCAACCACTGCGCCACCAGGGAAGTCCCATTCCTTTTTTTGTCTCAAGTTTAAACTGGATTTGGGTTGGACTTTTGTTACCTGTAAAAAGAATCCTGAGGAACAGGGTCTACGTGCGTAAGAATCTCTGAAGAAAGCTAAAGTCTCTAGAGCCTCTCTGCCTGCCCACTCCCCAGCCCCCGGGCTTTTGCAGGCCCCAGCTGCCTCTTGTGAACGCCTCGTCCAGCCACACTGCGCCCAACTGGCACCCGCTCTCACCTGAGCAGAGGCGAGTTGCTCTGATTCAGGGCCTTGAACGTGAGATAGCGCTCCCCGGCAGTCATCCGGGGCTTGTAGAAGCGCATCAGGCCTTCAAACTGCCTGTAGGAGATGCCGGCAGGCCCCTGGGGGAAGAGGGAAGACGGCCACGTGGAGCACAGCGGGGGCAGCCATGCCAGATGCCCAGCATCACACGGGATCCCAGGGCGCCCTGTTCTCTTGTTCTCCCAAGGGCAGGACTCCTGGTTTCGGAAGCTGCCGGCCTGCCCACGCTTCGGGGATACCGTGGGGCAAGGGCTGGGGAGCAGGGACCAACCTCCCTCCCTGGCTCAGCCCCTGCCCCGCTACCCGTTGGCTGATGAGCAGGCGGTAGGCGTGCTGGATGGCGGTTCGCTTGTGTAGCAGCAAAGACTTGAACTTGTGTTTCTCGATGTCATTGAAGGTGTCAAATACCACGGCCAGAAGCTGTGAGGGAAGAGCAGAGACCTGGCTCCTGTGCCCGGCGGGGCCTCAAGAACCAGGGAGTCGTTCTCCAGCCTCCAGAGGGCGCTCTTCCAGCCACCCCAGAGAAAGGGGTTGAAAAGAGCCTCTCGCCTGCCCCAGGTGGTGTAGGAAGTTCATCTCCAAGACTCAGCAGAGGAAGGTCATTCATTGCCACTTGTAAATTTCCCCTCTAAAGATTCATGAAGACACTGCTATTACATTTTCCCCAGGTTTTTCTTCTCTCCGCCTGTAGCTCATCCCTGGCTGGGCAGTTTTATAAGGGGAGAGAAGCAGCGAGGGGAACACACTGGGTTTTTTGCCCAATTCAGCTCCGTGTGATGGCCGGGGAGGCTGTGTGTCCATCCTGTGCCCTCCCAACCTCAGAGCAGGAAGGAACATCGCTGTGCCGATGCTTCCTCTCCTGTCCCCTTGCTCCTCCTCCTGGTGAGTCTGCGTGGCTCCAGAAAGCAGGGGTGTGAGGTGGCCTGCACAAAAGGGCACAAGGTTCTGGAACTTTCTAATTCCAAATTTAGCAGGTGAACAACACAGTCTGCGTTATCAGAACGCGATGGGAGGCCAGGCGCAGCATTTGGAAGAACACTTTTTGGAAACACTTTCCTTTTCTTTCAAAAATATTTTGAGGGGAACTCTCTTGTCCTTTCCATCCCTTCTAACTGGTCCCCCATACTTCCTTTTAGATCAAGGGAGAGTTAGCATCTGTAAAGGGCCAGAGAGCAAATCTTTTAGGCTCTGCAGGCCAGATGGTCTCTGTAGAAACCACTCAACCCTGCAGCTGCAGCATGAATGCAGCCGTGGACGATGTGCAAATGAATGGGCCAATAAAACTTTATTGACAAAAACAGATGGTGGGCTGGATATTGGCCCTGATTGCTGACCCATGCCCTATATTTTCACAGCTCTAAATATCTTTTAAAGCAAATCAATTACACATAAACTATTTTTTAGATTCTAAACTAACAACAGTATAAAAGAGCTGTAAGATGTTCAAAGAGCCATCTAACATACTTATTTTGGGTTTTGAGGAATTAAAAAAAGAAAATATTTTCCTTCTTAAGATGTCACACTTTTAGGAGATTTCACAGATCTACCCCAGAGAAAGTGTTTTCCATTTCTATACTGGGCCTGACTGTGGTGACTGGTGTGAGAATGCTCTGCAGAAGTATAAAAATAAATGCAAGACTGGATAAGGCCTCTTCCTGGTAATTCTGGCGTTGATGTGGGCTCGGCACCAGCCTGACGGCCCGGGCCGGGAGGCAACCTGCTGGTGGCAGGACACTCCTGGTGGCCGGCCGAGGCTCTGCAAACACCTCCAAAGTTCCCAGTGTGCATGGGGGCTTTATGTTCTCCCTAAAGGAATATGTTCTGTGTTCCATCTCCCAATGGTTCGTGATAAACGAGGTGGAAATACACAAGACACTCCTGGCATGTGGCTGCAGTAGGATGGAGTGGCTAGGAGCAGGGCTCTGGAATGAGACCAGCTCACCCGGCCACCCCGAGCTGTGCAGGCGCAGGTGAGTTAGCCTATCAGTCTGATCCTCAGTTTCCTCAACTATAAATTGAGCATAATAAGAATTCCAGGGTTTAAGTGTTAAATTATTTAACCCTCATCCATAAAACACTTTGCACGGTGCCTGGCTAAGGCTTAATAAGTACCAGCTTTTATAGTTATTATATGTTTGCCGTGAGAAGGAAAAGATCCCGGGGTAGCTTTGGTTTAAACTCTAGCACTGTCAGCAGCAGTGGCGGCAGGCCAGTTACTGCTGGCAACCAGCTGCACTTAAGTCCCAACAGGGAATTCCTAGCCACACCACACTTGACCACGGTCTGGGACCTCCTTCCCCAATGGTCTGCCCTCGGAGGCCGAAAGCTGTCCCTACCTCATCCCCACAGTGCCCAGCAGAGTGTGGGCGAGGGCTGCCTCAGTGGAGCGCGAGGCAAGGTCACTCACCAGGTTCATGATGAAGTACAGCTCGATGGAGAGGTACACGATGAAGAAGACACAGGACCAGGGGTTCCGGGAGTAGGAGGGCATCATCACATCTGGGAAACTGTGTTTGCAGAGTGTTACCCGCAGAGCGCGTGTCTGCTGGTCTCCGTCTTCTATAAGGACACCTCTTCTCCTGCCTGGCCAGCCCCCTCCCCCCTCCCCTACTCTTGGCTCACCAGGCCACTCCCGTCCCTCACGGGGTCCCAAGAACCTGTCTGGGCCAAGATGTGGAATATTCTTGGCTGAAAAGAGGAAAAGACCCCGGGCACTAGAAGAGGGCAGAAGCCAAAGCAGGGCCCGAACTTACTTGGCGGTGGTCAGAAGGACGAACAGACTGACAATGCTGTTCTCCAGGGTGCTGAAGTACTGCGGGGGAGAGGAGGAGAGGAGGGGACGTGGCCGCCAGGCCGAGGGCACACCCCACCGGGAACAGGCTGCCGGCGGTGGGCCGCCTCCAGAGCCCTCCCCCTCCCTGCCCCACCCACTCCTTCCTCCCAAGGGATCCCTGAAGGATGGCAGAGGAACAAGCAAACATGGAGTCCAAGGCCTCCTCCTTCCTGAGCTCAATGCTTCCAGCGGCAGCAGACAACTGGCTTTGGGACTTGTCTCCCAGGGAACCACATATGCACAATTAGCTGAGCTCTCCTCCACTGCTCCTCTGCCAAAATGTGCCCGTGTTCCAAATCTGACCCTGGAAACACCCTCTCAAGGCCAGAGCAGGGGGTCCCCCTTGGCATTCAAGGAAGGAGACAGCTCAAATCTGGGTGACGGGGCACTTTCAGGTGCCAGAAGCGATGATGAGAAACCAAGCAGGGCATCCCCTCCTAATACAGCTAGGGGGGCAGTCCAGCCACCTTATCTGAGGGGAAAGGCCTCCCATAAAGGAAGAAACAGACAAACATGTTGATTACTTACGGGGTCTGAAGGATTAGGGGAGAACAAGTAGAAACCTAGAAGAAGGTGGTGGGAAACAGATTGAAATAAGGGTTAGAGCAGAAGAGTCCCAAACCCAGATGTCAGAAGGACTGGACAAATAAATGTGAATCAGTGCCGTAGGCAGAGGAAAAGCATAGGGAGTGGTGGGGACTGTGGCAGAGCACCAGATAACTGCTGCCACTCAGGAGGGTGACCCAAGTACCATCAAACGTATGATTAAAAAAGGCTGTATAGGGAATTCCCTGGTGGCGCAGTGGGTAAGACTCCATGCTCCCAATGCAGGGGGCCCGGGTGTGATCCCTGCTCAGGGAACTAGATCCCACACGCATGCCGCAACTAAGGAGCCCGCCTGCCGCAACTAAGACTTGGGGCAACCAAATAAATAAAATTTAAAAAAATAATAAATCTGTATAGTAAAAAAAAAAAGCAGTACGTACAGCACGGTGACGATAGTTAACGATACCGTATTGTATATTTGAAAGTTGCTAGGAGAGTAGATCTTAAAAGTTCTCATCAGAAGGAAAAGAAATCGTACCTCTGTATAGTGATGGATGTTAACTAACCTTATTACGATGATCACTTTGCAGTATATACATAGCAAAGCATTATGTTGTCTACCTAAGACTAATACAGTGTTATATGTCAATTATATGTCGATTTTTTTAAAAAACGGAAGTTAAAAAAAGTTAAAATTTTTAAGGCTGAAAATCTGTATTCTCATGTAAAAAAAAAAACTAGTTTTAAAATGCTGGCTCAACACTTTCAGACCAAAGAAAACTCATCCACAGGCTGGATTTGGAACCCAGACTGCCGGTTTGCGATCTTTGGTTTTGAGAACATGACAGCCAAGCACAACTCCAAAGGGACCCTGTTGTTCCCCTGTAGCCAAATTAACACCATTAATTTTTTCCCTCTCAGAATGAGCTATTCCCCTGAGTCCTTGAAATCCTGAGTGGGAAAGGGAGTAACTCTGCCCTCAGGGGAAGTCAGCCCCCTTGGAACACAAAGGAAATTCTATCGAGAGTGGGGTGGAGGTGAGGTAAGTGGGAGTCAGTGGCTCAGGACAGAGCAGTCACGAGAACCCGGGGCTTTCAGTGCTGTTGGGGGCCTTAGAGCCAGGGCTCTCTAGTTCCACTGTCTTTGCCATCTGAGTACTGAAGAAGGGACCTTGGGCTACCTTGCCGTGTTCTAAGACCTCCACGGTCTAAACCCTGTGTCTGAATGTGGCTGTCGCATCAATACTTGATCTTATCTGAAGAGGCAAGGCCTCCTCGGAGTTAGAAAGGCCATGACCTTGCTTTTACATCTAGTGAAGCTGAAGTGTGCAGACCCTAAGGTCCCAGGCACACGCTGTAGAGAAACCCTCCCCCGTGTGCGCCAGGAAACGCACGAGAATGTTCACTGCAGTGTGACCTGTGATAGTGAAAAGTGCCCACCAACAGAAGACGTGATAAATAAATTTGGATATATTCACATATCAGATCACGACGCTGCGGTGAAAATGAATGACATACATCTACGTGCAGCAGCATGGATAAAGGCCGGGGGTACCTCTGGGAGCCGAAGGGAATCGAGATCAGGAAAGGGTACAAAGGTGGCTTCCTTTTTTTTTTCCGATATTGCATTTCCTCAGTTGGGTGTTTACATCATTTTGAAAACCTTCCTGAATTTCTGAAATGGTCAAAGTACCTTTTTTTCTCAACTGTGAGTTTGCTTTTAGCGAGCGCCTGCATTCTGGGGCGCAGGAGAAACTCACCAAGGATGGCGAAAATGATCATGAAGAAGAGGAGCAGCGAGAGGATGTCCATGAAGGGCGGCAGGGACTGGAAGATCTGGCGCAGGTTGCTGGGGAGACAAATGGGGCCAGGAGGGGTGAGGCGCAGCCGGGGACGGGCCAGGGCCCCGGGGGTGCTGGCTGGGACTCCTCAGTGGGGTACGTGCCTGTCAAGATGGGGGGCTGGTGCTCCCGACCGCCAGAACACTAAATCCCCTCTTGCCCTGGCTTGTGACATCATGCTTAGTGATTTCCTAGGCCTTCCACTCAGTGGGTGACGGGGAAAGAACCGGGGCAGGTGTAGCACTTACTGAGCCCAGGCAGGCAAGTGCCTGCAAGAGACGGAGACGGCAGGAGAAGGCCAGGTGCATGGCCTCGGGTGACAAGGCCAGCTTGCCTGGGATGTGGGAAGACATTTCAGAGCCACCCAGTCCTAGGACATTTGCCTCCAGTTTTAAGGACGGGCACCAAGCGTGAATGGTCAGCCCGCTCTCACCCACAGTACCCCAGCCAAGAGGCTTTCCAGATGGATTCTCAAAACTCAGTTTGACCTCAGGCTAACGGTCTGGTTTGAGTTCAGTACCCCCAGTCTCAGGGGAGGTGTCAGGACAGCCTGCTGAGTCACGTGGACTTTACTGAGTTCCTGCTTTAGGCTGTGTTTGGGCAGGTACTGTGCTCAGAGAGAGGACCAGCCCCAAAGAAGCACAGGTAAGGCAGGAGAGAGCCCTGGACCCGGAGTCAGGAGACCTGAACTTCAGCAGGAAGACCATCTGCCTCTCTGTGTGGGTCGAGTAGTAGAGGGAAGTGGGCATGACTATGTCCTACCCAAGTGCAGGAGTGGCCCTACTGCTACATCGCTCACTGGCTCCGGCTTCACTGGCCCGGAGGGCCAGGCCAGGCCCTGATAGCGACTGTCTGAGCAGCTCGTCCCCCGGGCCTTACCGCCGGACGCCACCGCAGTACCGACAGTCCACCAGGAAGATGCAGCGCAGCGCCCGGGTCACCCGCACGTGGGACGTCTGCCGTACCAACACCACGATGGCCTCAACGAACTGCACCACCAGCACAGAGGTCTGTGGGTGGAGGGCACAGTGCGCCGTCAGCTCCTCTGACCCAGCCCCTCCTGTACACCCTGAACAGAGGGCTGGTTGGATACTGCCCAGCCCCGCCCGGAGTCCAGAGAGACCTTTCCCTCGCCCTTTCTCACCTCCCCCAACATCAAGTGGGCCCCAGGGAGAAGCCCTCTGGCTGCTGGTAGATGTGCAGTCCCAGGAAAATGAGCCCCAGGGCGATGCTCCCAGCAGCTCATCAGATGATACCCGCTGAGCAAAACTGCTATTCCGCAGGCCACATCCAGCCACCCTCTGCTTCCAGCTCTCCCCACTTGCACCGTGAGGGCCCCTGAAGTCTGCAGCACACCCTGACCTCCAATTCCTTGGGCACATTCTCCTGTACAAGCGTGTGGGCTTTTTACACTGCCAAACGCCACTCTGACACATCCCGACTCACGCCTCTCTCTGCCGCAGAGAGAGAAAGCATATAATATGGTCCTGATCAGTGTGGGCGTGGAGGCCACACGGAGCTGGCTTTGAATCCCAACTCACCGGGATTTAGATCCCATTCTCTTCCAACTGGCTGCACGTACGATAGGAAGAGCACTACACCTCCTGCAAACGTCATCGTGCCAGTGCTTGGCACGCGCTAAACGCCGAACCACATTCACTACTGTTATCATCACTGTGACACCTGGAGCAAGGCGGGAAGCATGGCGAGGACAGGGACCCAAGGTTACACTTCTGAGCGCAGGACCAGGCCCACGGGGGACTTGGAATTGAACTGAAGATACAGACTTGAAGTTGACAGGGGAGGAAATGCTGTAGGGAGGTGGGCACAGCACCTTGACCATGGTCCGTCTGTGCCGGATGAAGGTGTGAAGGCCCAGCCACCGCAACTTCATGCAGAGTTCAAACACGACCACCATCAGGGCAAACAGCTCCAGGGTCGCGTGGACCTGCAGCCAAAGGGTGTGAAGGAGACGTGGCTTCCCCAGCGCCTGCCCTCCCCCAGCAGCGAGCACACCCGCCCGCCTTTTCATCTGAGGTTGGAGACAGCGGGTGGGACTGCTAATCAGGTATGCTGCCCACCTGGGGGCCAAAGCGGGCTACGGGTTCTGAGACAATCCGAAGGCGCCCCTCCCTGGAATTTACAAAGGAGCACCTCCCAGGGAGGTGCATTCAGTCGGGCGGGGACCCCGGGCAAGACGTCTGCCCTTCCAGAATGTTCCCTCTCAGTCTTGAGTTACTCTGCCCCCAGAGAGCCGTGGCTCCCAGCCATCCGGACACTCACGTAAATGCCCAGCCGGAGCGCGGGCACGGCCGGAGCCTCGCACAGGGACAGCAGCAGCAGGAGCAGGGCTGCGGACAGCTCCATCAGGTAGAAGAGGTGGTTGTGAGCAAAGAGGTAGGCCGCCAGCGCTTTGGCATTCTTGGGGTGGGTGAAGAACTTGTCGTTATTCTCACCTTCCTGAAAGAGCAAGCGTCACGTGGGCGAACGCGCCTGGAGACGATAGGGCGGCCAGGATGCGTGGTGGGCGGGGAGGGGGGAGGGCCCTTGGCCGGTGGGAGGAGATTCAGGCCAGAGTCGGGAGATGATGGAGAAGCGAAAGTGTGATCTTCGTAGAACCGCACACCAGTCAAGTCTCACCCTGGCCCGCTGATGGGGCTCCAAAGACTTGCTTCTTCCCAAAACTACTCAGAGGAATCAAAGAATAAAAAATCCAAGAGATCGAAGAGAAGCGGGCACATCTGGTCCCCTCCGAGGTCAAACGTTCACTCTCAGCTGTGTCTGCGGGATGTTAAGTGCTTGAGGTCGGGGGTGGGGGTGGGGTCTGGGGTAAACTAAGAACAGCTGAGTCCTGGCTCCCCCTCCTCCCTGGGTAACACTGAGAATGTTCCTTCACCTTTACAACCATCAACACTCGTACTCACTCCCCAGGTTCCTGCAAGACACTTAGGACGGCATCTGGCACACAGGAAGCTCCCCGCCAGAGGTTACCTGTTATTATTATTATAAGTTATAGTAACACTGAGCGGAAAGTGTGAGGGTACCTTTATCACGCTCCTTCTTTACTCAGCTTTCCCCATCCCACGTCTTAATTTACTCCATTTCCACCTAATTTCCTAACCGCTTGATGCCTTCACCCCAACAGTAATGAGACAGCAGCTGACCCCCAGCGAGTGCCCTCCAGGCCCGGCACCATGCTCAGAACCACCCTCCCCCCGCCCCCCGCCCGGCCCCGCTGAGCCCTCCACACTCCTCTCACTCCTGACAAGGAAATCCAGGCACAAAGAGCTTCAGTAGCACCTGAGCTCATAGAGCCAGACAGCCTGATTCCAGCGGCCCTGCTCTATTCTTGGCCTCCTGCCGATGTAGAAAGCAATCGACGGAGCAGACCGGGAACGGTCCACTTGGGAATACAAGCAGATAACCCTGCCGGTTCGGATCGGCCTTCTGGGGCAGGTAGGGGATCTTCACTGCCTCCCCAGGGTTGGTGGGCACGGGGATAAGGGCTAAGTAAGGGAGGTCCCTCTGCTTCATCACCCCCGAACCCCACCCAGCAGCCGACACAGAGAGAGTACTGATTGGCTCATACCTTACAAGCATCACCTTGCCTCAGTGCTTCTCAGCTGGGGTCAGTGTTGACCACCTGCCCTCCCCTGACTCCGCCTCGGCCTGGAGACACGTTTGGTTGTCCCACCTGGGGGGTGCTGCTGGCATCTAGAGGGTAAACTCCGGGGATGCTGCTAAACCTCTGAAAATGCACAGGACAGCCCCTCACAACAAAGAACTATCCGGTCCCAAATGTCAATGGTGCTGAGTCGGGAGAATCTGTCTCATTCACTCCCAGCACAAACACTCAGAACAGAGGCTCTTCCCCTTGGCTCCAATCCCTAGAGGAGGAAAGGGGCAGAGCCAGAAGGGATGCCCAGAGCCCTTCTGAAAGCATTCCGGCTGTCCCGGAATGCTGTCCGACCTTCAACTATTCCGACTCTTCTGAGATGAGGCCACACTCAACTGTCCTCATAAACCCTTATTCTGGGGAAGGTGAAACTAACACATGCTCAGTGATTCCTGCAAAGGTTGCCAAGCCAGGCCAATGGGAAGAAGTGTCTCTGGGCCCAGAGGTGGCACACGGTGCCGTGGAAACAGCTCTGGCTCCTGTACTAGCCCGAGGTGGCTTCAGCTCGCCAAGCCTGTTTCAGAGAATTGGGAAGGCAAGAGGTATTATTGTCAGGTCCTCAGCTGGCACGGTGCCTGGTGCACACAGTAGGCATTTAATAGGTGTTTGGTAGGATGAAGCACTCCTGCAAGAGATCATTCTCCAGGCCCCTGCCCAGCCCAAGGACTGCCCAGTAGCTGGGAGGCAGGGAGCTCTGACCTTGGCTGTGGTTTGCAGGGGGAACTTCAAGTGAGTCACTTCCCTGAAGCCAGCTACACCCCTATCCTCGTTATCAAAAAATAAAGACAAACCGCAGACTCAACGGGGCAGGGAACGAACATCCTGGCGGTCACACGGAGGGCAGGCTGGACAAGCCTTGATCTGTGCCAGGCTGTGGTTTTCACCAGCATGGCCACGGCCACAGGGGACACGCATGGCCTGGGAAGCTTCTGGTTTGGATTTCTTAAAAAATGCAATTCTTGGGTAATTTCTTCCAACAAGTAGCCAGGGATGAAGGTCTGGCTAGAGGAAACCACTAACACGGGGGACTCGGATCTGACCGCTAGGACTTGAAACTGCCACAGACGAGATGGAGGATGAGGCCTCCCCTAGCGAGGACGGAGTGAAATACGACCCGAGTCACTGGATTCTGACCCAGACCCTAAGGAGAACACTGGCCTTGTTTTCTAGCTGCTGATCACGAACTAGGAGATTCATGATTAGGAAAAATAAGAAGGCAGGCCAGTTGCATGTGACTTCCAGGTCTTTGCTTTCTGCTCCCTGGGGCAGAAGTCCACACAGAAAACTAGGACTGTCTTGGAGGCAACAGGAGCGCCGAGCACACAGCTCCTGAGGGTGAGTGAGTTAACAGGTAAAATTTGGGAAGAGAGGAAACTGCAGGCACCAGATAGCCTCAAAGCAGCGAGCGGCCAATTACCCAAGCACACCAGCAACCTGCTTCAGGGGCCATGCTGCAGCTCCCCTGCAAGCACGAAAACGATTACCAAACACCAGCTAAAGCCATCCTCCAGAAACAGCCACGAACTACTGTCCATGGGGATCCAACTTTTGCTTTTAGTTTTAATTTTACAAAATGATGCATTTTTTGTAAAATAATTCAAATCATACACAGAATTATAAGGTAGTAAAAATTCCATCAGCCAAAAATAATCACCTTTAAAAAACAATAATAATCACCTTTAATATTTAGATAAATAACTTTCCAAATGTGAATAGGTATATGTGCACAGATACAGAAACACAATATATAAAACTGTATATAATTTATATATAAAAATCTTCACATGATACCTTCTGTTCTGTAACCTCCTTTCCCACAAAGACATGGCCCATTTTCAAGTGAATACATGGGGTCAGGTACAGAAGTGAGGCAACCACATAGAGAAGAAAGAACGTCATTTGGAGGCTGGATGGACACGGTTTAAGTCCAACCTTGGCAATTTACTAGCTGGATGGCTTCGGACTCATTGAGCCCCTGGGAGTTTCAGGTGTATGAACTGGGAGATGATTAAACTGCTTGGTAGAGTTGTTAGAAAGATCAGCAAGTGCCCAGTTAAACTATATATAATTTGTTTGCATTTTTTTTTGGGGGGGGGTTGTTTTTTGCCGTACCACGCAGCATGTGGGATCTTAGTTCCCCAACCAGGGGTTGAACCCGTGGCCCCTGCAGTGGAAGCAGGGAGTCTTAACCACTAGACGGCCAGGGAAGCTCCATGTGCATTATTTTTTAAATTCCACATATAAGTGATATCGTATAATATTTGTCTTTCTCTGTCTGACTTACTTCACTTAGTATAATATTCTCTAGGTCCATCCATGCTGCTGCAAATGGCAACATTTCATTCTTTTTTATGTCTGAGTAACATTCTATAGTGTATATATACACCACATCTTAAACCAATTGTCTGCTGACAGGTACTTGGGTTGCTTCCATGTCTTAGCTATTGTAAATAATGCTGCTATGAACATCAGGGTGCATGTATCTTTTCAAATTAGAGTTTTTGTCTTTTCTGGATATATACCCAGGAGTGGGACTGCTGGACCATATCGTAGCTCTATTTTAGGTTCTTTTTGGTAACCTCCATACTATTTTCCATAGTGGCTGCATCAATTTACATTCCCACCAACAGTGTAGGAGGGGCTCCCTTTTCTCCACACCCTCCGCAGCATTTATTATTTGTAGACTTTTTGATGATAGCCATTTTTATTACTAATGTTCTCACCTGCTTAAGGAAAGAAGGAATTACCAAGCAGCTATTCTAATTCCATATTCTGACCCATCCTACCCTCTTGTCTAGCACCTATTCAACTTTGGAGAAGGTGACAGTGCCACATCAACTGGCATGCCCAAGCTTGCTAAAATTTCCCTAAAACATTTCTATTGCCTTAACCTGAATCAAAATACATTTCTTGAGGAGTACAGCCATAAAATGCGAGAAACACACAGACACCCAAACAACTATCAAATAAGTATCTGAATTTCATTATATCTTTTTAAAAAAATAGCAAAGCAAATACTTACAAGGGAGAGCTGCTTCAAAGAAAAAAAGATTAGGGGAAAATGATCATTCAAATGAATTTAAGAAAAATTCCATTTCCTCACCCAAACCCTTATTCAATGCACAGCTGAAGCTGAAATCTTATAATGACAAAAATGGCAAGATTACGGTGAAAATGCCATAGACAGACTGGAAGTTAATAGGCAATATCCCCTTTGGAGGGTATTCGATACTATATAACAAGGGCATTAAAAAAGGTTGATTCCAAAAAAAAAAAAAAAAAAAAGGTTGATTCCTTCTACCCACTGATTCCACTTCTTGGAGTCTTTCCTAATAAAATAATCCTAGATATTAAAGAGAAAAAGAGAGAAATAGCCGTGGGCACAGATTGTCCTCGGATTATAATTTATAATAAGGAAATGCATAATAAGGGAAATATAAAAAGAGAAAATATCCAACCTTATCAGGATAGTTAAGTAAATTAGTACGCACTTACCAGATAGAATTATAAAGACTTTAAAATTTGTTTACAAGAGTTATAACATGAGAAAAAAGCTTATGCCACATGCTAGGGGAAAAAAAAAGCAGACTGTACAGCTATAGCTACCACAGGACTTTAAAATTATTTTAGAAGACCCATGAAACCTATGTATTATTCTTTTTTTTTTATTCTTAAATAATGTTGTCAGCAACTGCGTTAGATGAATTTTTTTTCACATCGCCTTTGTACCGAAACTTATTGTAATAAGCATGCGTGACTTTTATTAAAAAGTATTCTTTTTCTTTAAAAAAAACAAAAACAAAAACTAAGCATGAAACAGCAAACATGAGAGCAGCAGCAAGTTAAATAGGAAGGGAATGAAGATCTCTAGATTCCCCACACTAAGTCAGCAGGGTTAAGTAGATAAAAGAATTCCCTCCGGAGAACCGGCCTCTCAATGTGCCTGAGAAGAGGGAGCGGGGCAGGGGAGGCCAAGTGGACAGACTTGGGGAACCTTGGGGGCAGGCAGAGCCACAAACTGGGGGTCCCGAGAACAAGCCCGTTCACATCACCCTTCCGTGTGGGCACAATCGGGTTGGCTCTCCCAGCCTGAGCTTAGGAGATGAGAAGCTCACACACGGAGCACTAAGCTAGAATTGAGTTGCTGGGCACCCAACAGAACCCCGGCTATCCTACTCCACCAACAGGGGCCAAGAATGGCCAGGTCCTGACCGGAAGATACTCACCTGGAGGTAGATTGCTGCCTCTTGATAATTCATCTCCCAGTTGTGTCCGGTGAGGCTGGAGGGGGAACTCTCGCCCCCTGAGCTCAGATTGGGGGTGCAGGAGTCATGGACGGCATATTTGCCTCCATCTGCATTGCAAGAGGAGATTCACTTACAACCCAGGCTTAAGAGAATAAAGACACCATTCACCAGGAGAAAAGGTTGGCAGTCACCTCGTATGCTCACACACATATCCTATTAACTGTAAGTCAACGCACCATCCCGTGTACTAATGACAGCAAGAATTAGTATGCCTAGTTAAAAATGTTTTTCTTACATGGATGGACACGAAGGGTATTATGCTTAGTGAAATAAGTCAGACAGAGAAAGACAAATACTTTATGATATCACTTATATGTGGAATCTAAAAAATAAGACAAACTATTGAATATAAACAAAAAAAGCAGACTCAGAAATAGAGAACAAACTAGTGGTTACTAGTAGGGAGAGGGAAGGGGGGAGGGGCAAGATAGGGATAGGGATTAAGAGATACAAACTACTATGTATAAAATAAATAAGCTACAGGGGTATACTGTGCAGCAGAGGAATATTTTATAATAACTATAAATGAAGCATAACCTTTAAAAATTGTGTATCACTATGTTACACACCTGAAACTTATATATTGTACATCAACCATACCTCAATTTTAAAAAGTTTTTCCTTCTCTTGTTAAGTGAAAAAAGCAAGTACAAAAAAAGCACACACTGTATGCTATCTTTTGTGTAAGAAAGGGAGAAAACAAGAAAACACAGAGATATCTACTTAACAAAAGAAACAGGAAGAACAAATTAGAACTCGATGAAATTGATTGCCTACAACGGATGTAGGGAACAGTGTAGAAGTCACTCAGAGGGAGTGATCTTTTTGATTACTTCTGACTTTTGGAAGCGTGTTAATATACTACCTTGTCAAAAAATAAAACCAATTGGAGTTTTTCACTGGTGCAGTGTCTTCTGTGGCTTTTCCCTGCTGACATCCATGCCCTTTCCTTGCAGTAACACAGCCCCATCTGCTTTTGAAGGACATCCTCTCCCTACCTTCTGTCCATATTCTTTGGCTCTGGCCAACGCCACCCCTGGCCCCCAGGCAGATGATCCAGTGCAATGAGATCCCCTCAGCCCCCCAGGACAGGCGATGGTTCAGGCAGCGGTGCTGACCCAAGCCCGGCCAATGAGGGCTGAACTTGGAACTTTTCCTGGACCAGTTAGAAAGGAGGGGCTCTTTCCCTGTTGCTGCTGGCGGTTGCCTCTGCCACGACCTGGGGAAAACCTGCCCGAGTTACATCCCTGGGATCAAGCTGTGCCCAAAATCTACCTCGTAGCGTTTCTGAAGTCTGAGCCCACAAATATCCTTTTACACTTAAGCCTGTTTGGGTTGGGCTCATCATAACACTCAGGTGTCTCCACTGACATATGCGATGGCACCGAGAAATGACTCTCAGCTTTGTGAATTTATTGGGAAGAAGAGAATCTAGGATGAGAATTGGGTTCCCCTAACCCACATTCCCAATGACCCACCGATGGGAGGGTAAAGAATCAAATGTTTGGCTAATGAGTCATGCACAGTGGCAGGGAGCAGATGTGTAGAGCTCACAACCAAACAGAAAGGAGAGGAAACTGGCAGGGTTCAAAGGGCTGTGGGGTCACAACTGGTCCTTCTGACTCTGAACTGCTAAGCAAGGGCAGTCAGGTCTGCCCTCTGCAAAGCTCTTCTCTACCGAGTTTTAAATACTTTTACTGAGATATATTTGACACACAATAAACTGCACATATTTAAAGTATTCAATTTGATATGTGTTGACATGCGTACACACTCGTGAAACCATTACTAAATACAATCAAGGTAATATAACCGTCACCCTTTCAAGCCCTCCCCCCGACCCATCCATCCTCAGGCAACCGCTCATCTGCTTTCTGTCACGATCAGACGAACCTGCATCTCTTAAAATTTTATGTAAACAGCATCACAGTATGTACTCTTTTTTTTGTTTGGCTTCTTTCACTCGGCATAATTTTTTTTTTTTTTTTTTTTTTTTTGCGGTACGCGGGCCTCTCACTGTTGTGGCCTCTACCGTTGCGGAGCACAGGCTCCGGACGCGCAGGCTCAGCGGCCATGGCTCACGGGCCCAGCCGCTCCGCGGCATGTGGGATCTTCCCGGACCGGCGGACTCTCAACCACAGCGCCACCAGGGAAGCCCCAGCATAATTATTATAAATTCATCCATGTTATAGGGTGTATCAGTAGTCCATTCTGTTTTATTGCTGAGTAGTATTCCATTGCATGGATGTACCACAGTTTATCCATTCATATTTAGATTGTTGCCAGGGTTTCGCTATTTCAAATGAAGTTGCTATGAACATTCACGTACAGGGTATGGTATGGACAAAGGCTTTCATTTCTTTGGGGTAAATACCTAGGGCTGAAATAGCTAGATCATACATTTAATCTTTTACAAAACTACCAAACTGTTTTCCAAATTGATTGTACCATTCTACATTCCCACTAGCAGTGAATGAGAGTTGCAGGTCCTCTACCTCCTCACCAACAATTGACATGCTCAGTTTTTTTAGTCAACTATTCTAAAAGGTTGTGATGGTACTGCATTGTTTTAATTCCAATGCTTTTACTTTGTGTTTCCTTAATGACTAATAATGTTGAGCATCTTTCCATATCTTTATTTGCCATTTGTACAACTTAACTGAAGTGTCTCCAAATCTTTCTTTTACCTTTTTCTTTCCTTTTCTTTGGAAGGTTTTTATTTTTAAAAAATTTTTAAAAATTTGTATTTATTTATCTATTTATACATTTATGGCTGTGTTGAGTCTTCGTAGCTGTGTGCGGGCTTTCTCTAGTTGCAACAAGCAGAGGCTACTCTTCGTTGCGGTGCACAGGCTTCTCATTGCGGTGGCTTCTCGTTGTGGAGCACGGGCTCTAGGCGCATGGGCTTCAGTAGTTTACCTGCTTATTTATTAGGTTATTTTTTTCTTTTTGAATTTTTAGAGTTTACATAAATATACAAATATTTATCTCTGATTAATATGTCTACTCCAGTTTTGATTATTTCTTTGAATTAGTGATTAGTGTAGCTTTTTCCATTCTTTTAATCTCTTTGTGTCTTTTTTTTTTTAAAGGAGAAACATTTTTTTTTTTTTTGGTTGCACCAGGTGTGCTCCTTAGTTGTGGCATGCAAACTCTTAGTTGCGGCATGCATGCAGGATCTATTCCCTGACCAGGGATAGAACCCAGGCCCCCTGCATTGGGAGCATGGAGACTTATCCACTGCACCACCAGGGAGTTCCCTCTTTGTGTCTTTATATTTAAACTTTGTTTCCTGTAGGCAGCATAGAGTTTGGTCTTGCTCCTTTCTCCCAATCCGAAAAACTCTGCCTTTTAATTGGAGTATTTAGATTATTTACAATTAAGTAATTACTAATATGATTAGGCTTAAATATATCATCTTGCAATTTATCGCATATTTGCCACACCTGTTCTTTGTTCTTGTTTTCTGCCTTCTTTTGGATGACCGTATATTTTTTTATGGTTCCATTTTATCTCCTTGTTGGCTTATTAGCTACAATGCTTTCTTTTGTTATTCAGAGATTGCTCTGGGGTTTATAGTATACATTTTAGATTTATCACGTCTACCATCAAGAGACCACTTCATGTCTAGTATAAGACTCTTACGACAGTATAGTTCTTTTTCTCCCCTCCCAACTTTGTGCGTCTGGAAGCGAAGGGACTTCCAGTTCACAAACCTACTCTGGATTGAGCTCCATTGCTAGCATGTGTAACTAGGACAGTCTTTCTGGAAGGGACTGCACCAGTGAAGGATATAAGAAAAGTAATGAGTTAACACTACTTGCTCTGTGCTAAGTGCTCCATGCTGATTAACTCACGTAATCCTCACCATCCCATAAGATACACACTAGCATAAATCCTACTGTACAGAGAGGTTAACAACTTGCCCAAGGTCACACAGCTGTAAAGGGCTGAGCCAGGATTTAACCCCAGGCAGCGCCCCTCCAGAGCAGCTGCATTTAACCACTATGCTACACTCCCACCCTCTAAGAAAGACAAGTCTACGGTGAAGGACAGCAGAGAATGGTTTTAAACTAGTGGTAGCAAATACCTATGGATCGCTTATTACGTGTCAAAATCTATTCTGTGGCAGATTTTTTTCCCAAAGATAGCCACAGCATTATCTTTCATACTACATGCTCTTCTAGAGCCCTGCCACCCCCTACAAAGAGGGAGAGACTATGTCTCCTCCTCTTGAAACCAGGTGAGGCTTTGTGACCGTCTTGACCAAGAGGATAGAGGAAGTAATGCTTATGACTTCCAAAGCTAAGTCGTCAAAATGCTTCCACCTTCTTCTCTTGGGTCTCTTGCTCTTGGAACGTAGCCACCATGTTGTGAGAGAGGCCCACGGAGGAGAATCAAGGCGCCCAGTCCACAGCCCAGCTGAGCTGCCAGGAGGCAGCCAGCACCAACTTGTTGGTCAGGCTGAATAAGTCATCTCACAAACAGATCCCCAGCCCCAGTCACTGTGTGGGGCAGAGAACCTGCCCCTCCCCCAAGCCCTGCCCAAACTGCAGACTCACGAGCAGAATAAATGATGTCTTCGTCTTAAGGTGCTGTGTTTGGGGCTGGTTCGTTATACAGCAATAGATAACTGATACATACCTGAGTACTTTCTGCCAATCAAGCTATTTAATTCTCACAGCAATCCTATGAAGAAGGTAATATTATTATTCCCACTTCAGACTTGAGGAGATTAAGGTGCAGAAGGTTAAGTACCTTCCTGGGGTCATGCAGCCAGTGAGAAGAAGGGCTTGGATACCAAACTAGGCTGGTTAGCTTCTAATTGGTAGGCTGCATGCCTCTCAAGGATTCGAAACCCGAAAAGGAGGACAAGGTAGTGCCGAAAGGATTAAAAATATAGCAGCGGGGGCTTCCCTGGTAGCACAGTGGTTGAGAGTCCGCCTGCCGATGCAGGGGACACGGGTTCGTGCCCCGGTCCGGGAAGATCCCACATGCGGCGGAGCGGCTGGGCCCGTGAGCCACAACTACTGAGCCTGCACGTCTGGAGCCTGTGCTTATATATATATATATATATATATATATATATATATATATATATAGCAGCAGTTCCATCACTCAAATGGAGTAACAGGTAGAAGGCAGGACATCTGGCTGCAGCCAGCCCTTGATCACCCTGGTCCTGCTCTACCAATGCCAACATTTCCCAACTCTGATCCCAGTGCCCATTTCTGAAAGAACAAAGCCCTAGGCAGAGACAGGAGAAGGTCAAACCACCTTCCTCCACCCGCTCACATGGACCAGGGAAGCATGAGCCAAAACGTGACTCCCAAGTAGGAGAAAGATGCCTCCCGGCATCTGGATGGAGCTGGGATCTTGTGCGCCTGCGCCCTGTCCTCCATGACCTTTGCACAGCACGGCAGGAGCCAGGGCCTGGGACACAGCAGCCCTAGGTCGAATAAATAGCGGTGCTGGTGCGGGGTAGGCGGCGACAGGCTGGCACAGATGGCAGCGGACATTAGTGCCATTTTCCCAGCCCGTGCTAGACATAAGCGTCTGCAGGAGCCCCTGCCTTGGAGACCCCCGTGTAAGCCTTCCGAGCCCTTCTTCTCGTGTAGGGGTCTCAGCAAATTGATCCAGTTTCTGCCTCCCGCCCGGGAGCTCTCTCAGGCCCATCCTGGTGGGGAGAAGGCATGTGGTCCTCCTCAACTTCTCCCCTTTGCCCCATCACTTACACCATACACCACTGTGATGGGGGGCGGGGGAACGCTACGGCATCCCCCAGTGCAGACCAATCCTTGCCACTTCCACCTCACTCACACCAATGGCTTTTGCCTGGGAGCAGGTGACCCTTGGTATCTTTTATTATTTTTTTTGGCGATACGCGGGCCTCTCACTGTTGTGGGCCTCTCCCGTTGCGGAGCACAGGCTCCAGATGCGCAGGCTCAGCGGCCATGGCTCACGGGCCCAGCCGCTCCGCGGCATGTGGGATCTTCCCGGACCGGGGCACGAACCCGTGTCCCCTGCATCAGCAGGCGGACTCTCAACCACTGCGCCACTAGGGAAGCCCAACCCTTGGTATCTTGAAGGTGAGATGACAGTCTTCTCCCCCGATGCACAAACAACAATTCCATCCCGTCTCTGAAATCCACAAGGACCCCTGGGACAGGGAGACAGACCAGCCTTCCAGCTGCCTTGGGAGGACGGTCCTCACGGCCGGAAATCTTTCACATCACCTTCCCCCCACCCCCATGGCCTATAAGTCGCCAGGTCTGGGAGGGTCTCCTCTCTCTAATCCATCTCCACTCCCCACATTCACTGGAGCCTCCTGCCTTTCACCTAAAGGTCAGCAACAGCCTTCAGGCTGGTTCTCGCTGCCTGGGCCTTTCCCTGACCACGGGGCAGTCTTGCTGCAGGATGAAGTCGGTAAAGCGTAAATCTGACCCTATCCCTCAGGGGCTTAACAATCTTTCAATAGCTCGCCCTTGGGAAAGACTTCAGACTCAGCAAGGGTCTTTAGGATCTGGCTCCCACTGCCTCTCTCTCCATTTCCTGTTCCTTCCCAAACTCCTAAAGGCCATGTAGATCCTCAGAGGGCAGCTGGTTACTGCCAAGCACTAGGATGCCGGGGCCCCCATGCAACAGCAAGCATCACAGAGACAAAACGTATGCTCTCCAGTCACAGATCACACCTGGTGGCTGGCAGGTGTGAGGAGACATGTGAGGCTACAAAGGGCAGAACAAGGACTTGGGAGGAGATGTCACAGGACGGGCATTTCCACCAGATCCCAGGAAGGCTTTTCTAACTACAAGAGCTGCCCCTGGGACTTCCCTGGCGGTCGGTCCAGTGGTTAAGACTTCACCTTCCTATGCAGGGGGTGCGGATTCAATCCCTGGTCAGGGAGCTAAGACCCCACATGCCTCATGGCCAAAAAAACCAAAAACATAAAACAGAAGCAATATTGTAACAAATGCAATAAAAACTTTAAAAATGGTCCACATCGAAAAAAGAATCTTAAAAAAAAAAAAAGAGCTGCCCCCAAATGCACTGGGCAAAGGGGGCTTTAACTCTGTCATGTTTGATTTATTAAAATTAAGTAAGCACTAAGCTCTGGTGGCGCTGGGTACATATGTGTTTGTCATTTTATTCCTAACGTGATCTGTAAGTTAGAAATAATTCTTGGGCTTCCCTGGTGGCGCAGTGGTTGAGAATCTGCCTGCCAATGCAGGGGACACGGGTTCGAGCCCTGGTCTGGGAAGATCCCACGTGCCGCGGAGCAACTGGGCCTGCGAGCCACAATTACTAAGCCTGCAGGTCTGGAGCCTGTGCTCCGCAACAAGAGGGGCCGCAATAGTGAGAGGCCCGTGCACCGCGATGAAGAGTGGCCCCCGCTCGCCGCAACTAGAGAAAGCCCTCGCACAGAAACGAAGACCCAACACAGCCATAAATAATTTTTTTTTAAAAAAAGAAAGAATTCTTAATAAAAATATTTTAAAACCAACAATGAATGGCATTGTTCTACTCGTTGTTTTGATGGGCATCCCCAGGGGCGGAGTGCAGCTCCTAGGTGCTGGGGGCCCCAGCTGCTGGAGGTACCTGGATAGTCCCTGCCCTCTGGGGGCGCCTGTCTGCCAAGGCAGCACATACGCCATCAACACGGGGCCTCAAGAGGAGGCTTCAACAGAGGGAGGTTCCCCCAGCAAGCGGCAAGTTGGACCAGCTGCCTTTGCAATTCACAGCATCTATGAATTTACAGATACATAAAGACGGTGAGGGGGACAGGCAAGGGGGTGCAGATGGCTTTAAAAATGACTCCCAACTCATGAACCACCCATGGGGCCGGCCATGCCACACCTGGTGCAGAGCCCAGCCGCTTGGATCCTGCTGGCTACCAGAAGCCTTCCACCAACACTGCCTCGCTGCACCGAGAGGGTGACAGGGTCTTCTTTAGCACACAGGTCTCTCCCCTACCCTAACTAACCTCAGCCCCACAATCTCATCAACTCAGCTTCTGCTGAAATAACAAACACACTTACAGGGCATACTCTGTGTGCCAGGCTATTCTCAGCACCATATATTTATTTATGTATTTATATAAATGTATATATTTCTATAAATTTCATACTCACAATAACCCTATGAGGTGGCGACCATTATTGTGCCCATTTTACAGATGAGGCAATGGAAGCCCAGAGAGATCTGTGAACTTGCCCGGGTCCCACACAGTTAGAAGGTCAGCAGGTTCCGTGCTGAGAATCCCCATGCTAAACCACAGAGCAGAGTTTAGCGTGCTCTACGGGCTACGGGGCTTCCCTGCGTGGACCTGAGTACTTTCTGAGGCTCATCTTAGAAACGATGAGTGTCAGGTCTGGGGTCTTAGAAAGGATGATGGTCAGGTCTGAAATGGATCACAGAGACCACTTAATTGAATGCCTGTCTCTTAGAGATGGGAACCTGAGGCCAGGGAGGGGAGGTGTGCCTGCGTAACAGGGCTGACCCGTCAGAGAGCCAGCTCTAGCACCTGGGCCTCCTGGCTCCCCTCCTAGAGCTTCCCCACCACAGACACTGGTCACTCATCCCTCACTAGAGTAATGTGGACAGTGGTCTGACGCCCACTGTCTGCCACTGTGTAATTGCTGGTGCACAGCTGTGAGACAAATCAAAGAATAAGCCACTGGCCTAATCCTACCCACCTGGGCCAAATTTGCACTTGCTGGGAGAAACAGCGGCCCCCGGGTCTCCAGGTGAAAGTTGATGATGCAACTTTCGGGGCAACCCCTGCACAGGGAAAGTCTGGACAACAAGGCGGTCTGGAGGGCTCTCACACAGCACCCCAGGCCCAGCCCCCTCCTGTGATCAGGGACCAGCCCTCACACCAGTGGATGTCAGAGACCACAGAAGAATCAACACGTTCGACCTCTGACTTTGGCACCGTGCTCGCCCAGGGCAGGGTGGGTGTCTCCAGACGAGCTGGAAAGGCAAGGTCAAGGCATACCGCAAGGGCCCAGCTGGAGGAGGTGGGATGACCTCACGACGGGGCTGTCGGGGAGCTGGCCATCCGCCGCCTCGTCCAGGAACATGATGGCCGGCCCTCGCCTCTGCATTTCTGTCTTTCCTGGGAGGCAGCTGGCCCAGAAACGGGCGGGAAGAAGGAGGAAAAAAACGATACACAGCAGTGCAGGAGGGTGGGAGTGGCAGTCTTCTGGCTCCCACAGCAAACCAGCTTCTCCGCTCGCAGGAGAAGGGCCAGAGGAAGCTGACTAGGAACATTCTTGGCAACCAGGAAGATCCCATTCGGAGCCTCTAGGGCAAGTCCCCCCAACCCCAACTCCCAAAGAGAAACACTTTGTTCTGCACTTCGGGTGCCCTGGGCAGAGAACTCTCCTGTGAAACCAGCCTGCAGCCTTTTCAGGCCCAACGACTTTTGCCACTAAAGATTTATGCATCACCAACCCCTTAACTGCCCTCCCTGCATCCTGGCAGTCAGCCCAGGGAGGTGAACATAGAGGAGAAGGAACAGAAAGAAACTGCTGAACTGACAGGCACTGGAATACAAAACAACAATAACAACAACAAAAGAACTCCCTCCAAGTAGGAGAGAAGTTCCCCACACAGAGGACAGGCAGACAAACCAGGATGACCTGTTTGCACAGATGGTAACGTTTTCCTCCAAGCTGATGTAACAGGGCCCAGAGGCTCCCTGCAAAACAGCTGGCTGCTTTGCATGCAGCCTCTGAAACGACCCTGTGGGGAATCCAAGATTTCCACGTGCAGCAGCATCCTGGTGGCACTGGGTAAACAGAAACGGTTTCCATATGCCGGCTATAGAGTGGAGCCAGGGAGGAGAGGGGAAGAACGGGCAGGTGAGGAGGGCTTCTGTGACCCAGCCCCCCCGTCCAGCGAGCGCAGGGTCCACCAGGGCTGGGTAAATCACTGCGGCCTTCCTTTGGGGCCTGGGCAAGAGGTTGCTTTGGATAGAAGGCATATGAGCTCCTCGTGGGAGGTAGTTCTGATCGGAAAGACTGCAAGGCAGTGACTGTTCTCGGGCAGGTTTATACTGAGGACCCCACCCCATTCAATCCTCCCTCCTTTTCATTCTCATTCTCTTACACATACACAACCTTATGCGTTCACACACACACACACATCCCGCACATCCTCTTCAAGACAAAACGTAGCCCTGAACACCCAAGTTCGCTCCCAGCTGTGCCCCTCCCAGCCCTTGGTTCACGACCTTGATCCCCAGAGCCTCAGTTTCTTCATCCATTAACCGGGACTGGTGCCAACGGTGCACCTGGGCATCTGAGAAACAAATGCGAGTACCCACAAAGCACTTGGAGCCCTCCGGACACCAGTGCCCACCAGAATGACAACGAGCAATCAACCGTTTGCCAGTTGTCGCTGAGAGCCCCACTCCATGGGAAAAGGCTTGAAGGGGAGGAACACAAACCAGAGGGACGCTGATGAGTTTTCCAGGCACGGCGTCGCCGCCCTGCTTCTGTGCCGGCTGTGGCTCTTTAAAGGCCCCCAGATAAAAATCAGGCAAAAGCCACTACCCCGAAAGAAAGCAGAGCGCACGTTTCCTTCTGCTCGAGACTTCTCTGCTGACGACTGACTGCACGATGGCCTGGGAGGTAGACCCGCGTCATCAACGCACGTTAGGAGAGGCTGTAAACCCAGGCAGAACTCCGGGCAAATAGACTAACCTCCACAAAGGCGAGAGCTGGCGTGCAGCCCTCCCAGTTGAATCGCTGGCCTCAAGCCCAAAACCTGTCCTTCCAAAGGCTTAAGCCAGAGGAGGAAAGGAAAGATGAAAGGCTCACCCAGGCCGGTACTGGGTCAAGCACTGTTCTAGAAGGAGCCCTGGTTTGGAACTAGCCTGGATAACGCCCTGCGCCACCTCCAACTCTGTTTCTGGCCAGCTGACAGGGACCTACGCGGCCAAATCCAGAGGGATTCCCTGCAGATACACAAGGCCAGCCATGGAAGGGACCTGAACTGGGCAGCAAGTTGAGAGCCGCAGCTATAAACAGAGATGTACAGAAAGTCGGGAGGGGTGAAGATCAGAAACAACAGACTCTTGGGAGGGGCCCGGAAAATAAGCATCTCTTGGTAATTTAGAGTAGCAACTGCTGTCCCAGGGGCCCACCCTCAAACTGGCCACGCAGGGAACTCACACCCTGAGGTTGCAAATGTGACCTTGAGAGCAAGGCTCTAGTCTTAATAAATCATGCGGTTATTTGGGGGAGAAAAGGGGAGGGGCAAGTTTTTAAAAGGCTGACCTTCTAGATGCAAACAAATATGGTTTCATTTGAGGAGACATTTCCTCAGCACCTACTGTATACCAGGCATTGAGTTAGGTGTTGGATTTGAAAACGTAAAACCATGAACTTTGCCCTCACGGAGTTCACGATCAGGAGGCAGGAGAAGGGATGTGATTCTGGTGCGTTAAAGGCACTTGTTGGTTACAACAGCCGAGAAAAGGATGTGATGACAATGACCGTCCACGGGGGCTGGAGAAAAGAGGCAGAGAGGGATTCAGGGGCGATATCCGTGCTGGCTTTGAAAGGAGGAGGGATGAAAAGGTGTTCAAAAGGGGGATGGGGATGGGGTGAGAGGTACATTCCAGAAACAGGAAGGTCATGCATAAAGCACAGAGAAGCAAATAGCAGGGGATGTCTGGGAAACTGCAGAGGGTTCGGTAATTCTGAAGCCAGAGATAAGGCTGATGTGTGGGAATGAGAACAAGAATAACAGCTCACACTCAGTGCTTTACGTTTGTTAATTCTTTTAAGTATAAAAAGCCCCATGAACTAGAGACTATTAATATCTTCAGTTTCCAGAAGGGGAAATTAAGGCCCAGAGAGGCTAAGTGATTTGCCCAAGGTCACAGAGCAAGAAAGGGGCCAGGCTGGGGTTTGAGCCCAGCAGCCTGACTCTTTTGTGAGGCAGGAGCAGCGGGTGGGCTGTAAGCCATGTTAAGGAGACTGGACTTGAGCTGCTGGGTTTTACCAGCAGAGCAGTTGGACCAGGTGTGCCAATCGGAAAAACACAGGCCGGGAGGGCATTCTCAGTTATACTGTAATCCCATCTACATTCTGCACAGGCAAAAGGGCAAGGTCCTTTCCCCGGAGGAGCCATGGTGAGCTCGTGTTTACAGAGCAGTTAACTTGCCAGGAGCCGCTGGGGTCACCTGCACTGATTGTCCTGACCACCCTGCACGTGAAGAACCATGTCTTGCCACTGCTACACAACCCACCACCACCCTCCGCCAAGGCAAAGAGAGAAGAAGGGGTTTGCCAGATGCTGGCAGATAATTTCTTGGTGAGGCTGGAAATGATTTCCATCTTCTTTAGTCTGTGAATTTCAAGGCTTGACTTGGAATTGTAGTTCCTGCTCCCGGGCCCCTGGGTTTTTTATGAAACAAAAGGCTTTTATTCCCACTAATAACTCATCACAAAGTATTTATTGAGCACCTACCACGTGCAAAAGTGCATCGGATGCTTTAAGAAAACATTTGTAAACACTACAACCATCTCCAAGGCCTACTTTGTGCGCGTGCACGCACACACACACACACACACACACACACACACACACACAGAAAAACATGCCAACTCCACTCTGTTTACCCAGTAAAGAGGGCAGCACCTGTGCGAACATCTGTCCTGTATTCACTTGGAAGCACTGGAGATGCTAATTGTGAAACGCACAGGGATGGGGATGGAAGCAGCACAACAGCAAATGGAGACAAAGGCATTTTTCACTGCACGCTGGCGCTCCCTGGGCCTCTGCAGCGGGTCAGCGGATAAGTGGTGCTCAGGGGAACAAGTCTGGCCATGAGACTCGTTCTCCACGTGGCTACTGATCAGAGGTCTGCTCTAGCCCCTACCTGGGAGCGCCTGGGGGGCTGACTGGACCCGGCTCCCATGAACACTGGCCACAGCCCAGCATCTGGATCTCCTGTGAGCTGGTGGCTATACTCAGAAGAGCGGCAACAAGGGGTAAGACGGCCGGGAGGCACAGGCGCCTTGGGGGAGTGACATGTCAGGAGGAAGTCTACAACCCGCAGAGAGTTTGATGGCCTGGGCACGCCACTTCTCCAGGACCCAGGCTGGCCTGGTGGGTGCTGCTCCCAGGGGAGCCGGCAGGGCCTGAGAGCCTGTGCAGTCGGTGGCCGGGCACTGGGCTCGGCCTCCTCTTCCTCCTCCTCGGTTCCCTTTCTGTCGAGTGGGGAAGAGAGTGCAAAAGAGGCATCGTGAATAAAGAAAAATGCAATGGAAACCAAAAAGCCATCCTAAAGAGTGGGCAGGAGGTGGGGCTACTTCAGTTGAATTGTCTCTGCAGTGCCCCTGGACGGTCAAGGAAATTAACATATGGGATCCCTAAGAAAATCCAAAACCCAATTAACATTCCTTAAGAGGAAGGATTTAATAAAAGGAAGGGCAAGCTCAAGTCCTCAACGCGGAGTCCTTAGATTACCTACTCAGAGGCTCTAGAAAGGGCGTCATCGCTACTTTGTTGAAAATGAAACCCTGATACTTTACTATTAGTCAGAGTTTCCACCTACTGAGGTGGTACCGGGAGATGTTATATGGAATTTCCCATTTAATCTTTATGTCAACCCTGAATGGAGATGTTCTTCTCCCCGTTTTACAGCTGAAGAAAGTGAAACTCAGGGAGAAACCGAAGCTTAGCTCCTCCTTTAAGTTTGCACAGCTGCTGAGAGATGACACTAGAAATTCAACCCCATCCTTTGCTACAGACCAAGAGACTCTGAAGAAATGTCAGAACACACTACATCAGCAGCACGTACGATCACTCTCCCGACACACACACATGTCTAACAACCTGGGGATTCTCCCAAGCTATCCCCGTCTCCAGACTTGGGAGCCCCTGCCCACCCCGGGACAGTGTCTGAGCTCCAAAAGGGAACAGCACAAAACACGCAGCAAAAGCAAACAGCTCAACTGGTCTGAAGGCTGAGCAGGCTCTGCAACTGAGAAAGTCTGAGCCCCATCGAGGTGGCCAGACAGGGTCCAGGGTGCGCAGGAAAAACTGCCATTCACAACGAAAAGGCAGGCCAGCCAAGTGCGAGCAGCCGAGCCGGCAAGAAGAGGGGACCCTGGGGTGTCGCAGAGGAAAGGCATCACGCTCGTCGACGCTCACCCACAAGGGAAAGCCGACGCAGCCGGCAGCCTGGAGTGCTCCAAGCCATGAGCCAGCGCTGAGCACAGTCACTCTGCCCGAGCTGATTTCCAGCAAGAGCTCAGAGAATAAGAAAAAGCAAATAAATAAAATCCCAGTCTAACAAAAAGAGAGATTAACAAGAGGGAGAGGTGGCCTACGAGGGGTGGGGTGGTGGAGGGGCGAGCTCAGAGGTGAGGGAAGGTGGGACCACACCACCCCGGGGCTGACATGGCAATTATGAGACGTGTGCACCCTGGAGAACTCCGAAAGCAGAGACCAAAGACATCCCCAAAGCAGGCTGCTCCTAGGGCAAGCAGGGGCCAGGCCCCGCCCGGCCTAGTTCTGACCTGATCACACGTGAATGAGTCTCCTGGTCACGCCAGATGGTTCCAGGGGCTGGGTAAGCTGTGACAAACAGAGTCACTTGGGATCCTGGGTGTTTTGGGAACCTAGTGACTCACTCCCAGATATGTTACTTCATGGGAGTCTGTTATTAAGTGCCCTGGGTGTGTGCAGAGAAGACGTGGTCCATGACTTTGCAAAAACTTGTGCTCCCAGAAACAGGCACATCAGGACCCAAAACAATAGCACCTACTCAGGCACAAAGCAAACCCTGATTCAGTACGTGAGACATGAATCAAACCTGTCACATGCAGGTGCTAGGGAGCAAGTGGGCCTCCCGCGCAGTGTATTCAGAGGATGCGAAGGTGTAGAAGTGCAGCCACTACCCCAACCGGTTAGGGGCGGTTAGGGAAGCCTCCATGGAAACAGTACAAGATCTTCGGCTGAAGAAATATGGAGTGGGGATAGATCAGAAGCAAGAGACAGCAGCCAGGGGAAGGTTTGGTAGTGAAAGTGGTTCAAATGAAAAAAATGTGAGATTATGTGACTGTTAAATAAATAAACGAGATGATAGGGGACCTCCCCTGGCAGTCCAGCGGTTAAGGCTCCACGCTCCCAATGCAGGGGGCACGGGTTCGATCCCTGGTCGGGGAACTAAGATCTCGCACGCCGCGTGGCACAGCCAAAAAATAAATAAATAAATGAGATGGTATGAACAGCCCTACGTTTAAGACTTTTGCTTATTGGTTCTAATTTCTGGGAGGGGTAGTGCAAGAATGAAGGCCCGTCAGCCAGGGGTATAACTGAGGTGGAATTTCTCATGGCCTGGAAAGTGCTGGGGCCACTGCCACGTGGATGGGGGCCAGGTTGGGAAGGTGGATCAGAGGACTTAGCATTCAAGGTCTTCATTTTCATTTGATCCAAGAACTTGGCCTAACCCTCACCAAGTGAATGGGTCTGAGTTTATGGTTTCCTTATCTATACTCTGAAGTTAATGAAAGTTTCAAAGCCACTAGAGCTTGGATGGAGAAATGTTCCCTCTGGGCAAGGCCTGAAAACAGAGGTGGCAGGTCTGTGATCCGAGAGCAAGAGGGACCCACAAACCTGCCTTCCCCAGGGGTGTGCTAGGCACACAGCAGCCCACCAACACTGATGACAAACGAGGCCCACGGCTCCACTGTCTGCCTGGGCAGGTCACTTCCCTCCCCACCCCTCGAATTGCACATCTGAAAAATGGGCATAAATACTGTTACTTCACAAGGGCTGGTAGGAGCGACCGCTTATGTTAACATTACTGTACACAGTGTTTCGACTGCAATCAGTTGTAATAGTGCTTGCTGCCTCCAGTGAGAGAACAGCAAGAATGGCTCTGGGGAAGACTTCTACTTCAAGGTAGCAGAAAGGATGCTCTGATTTGTAGCTCCTGGACTCACTGTTGGGCCAGGGTGCAGGGGTGGAGCCCACAGAGCACTCATGGGAGATATTTGCTAGTGTTGTTCCAAATGCCGGCTGAAGTCACCAAATGTTCACCTGGGAGACTCCCCAAACATAACTGAGTCTTCCAGGGAAAAACAAAGCCCCTAAATCACGCCTTTAAAAAAAAAAAAAAAAGATGCTGCTACCATATCATGCGCTTGCTTGTGCTATAGCTAAAATACACGGGGAAAGAGATCTAAAAAAAAATATTTTTAGGGCTTCCCTGGTGGCGCAGTGGTTGAGAGTCCGCCTGCCGATGCAGGGGACACGGGTTCGTGCCCCGGTCCAGGAAGATCCCACATGCCGCAGAGCAGCTGGGCCCGTGAGCCATGGCCGCTGAGCCTGCGCGTCCGGAGCCTGTGCTCCACAACGGGAGAGGCCACAACAGTGAGA